GGGGGTCTGAAAAATCTGGGGAAAAAAAGAAGAACCTAACAGAAACCTAAAGCCAACTTGAACCGATGATGTGGCACAAGCAGACGAATGGGAAAAATGGATGGGAAATCGGGGAAAACGTTGGTGGTGGTGGTTAGTGTGGGCGAGTGAGTCGCGCTTCTGCGAGAGACTTTGGCCGAGAAGTTTTCTAATTGAAAATGGCGTCGCAAAATTTAATTTGAAAACTTTCACTGCCAGGCCGGCCAGAGTACCAGGCACAGGCGGACCAGTGGCTGTGCTGACCCACAACGACATCGACAACGACTTGCCAGATTTGTGAAAAATCCGCAGCTGAACTGCGAGAAAATTCTCGGACATATTAAGGGCGTATCGCCGGTTTTTGATAAGCAACATCAACAGTCCACTGGAAAATTAATAAGTTCAGAATATTCGAAGGAAATTATTGATATTTAAGAATGTTTAGCTATGGGTTGGGGGGCCTTGAACTGTTATTGTAATTTCTGTTAGGTCTTAGTTAGCCTTATTCTTCCCAATTTCTTTCAAAACATTAATATTTTAAGTTTTTATTTATGATTCATATTTATACATCTAAATTCTCACCTTTTTACCTTAATTTCTGTCAGTGCACACACTTGTTATTAATAAGCCTGCAAAGGAATGTTGGGGAACATTTCATTTCAGGGGGCCGCCAAGAAATATTTCGCCTAATTGAATCGCCTGGCGCGAACATTTGTTGCTCGACTTCTTTGGCGCCATGAATTCGCGACACTTGCCCAAAACATTTCGGTCTTTAAATAATTTTTGTACATTTATATTTTTCTCTTCTCGTTGCTGTCCTCTGAGCAGGGCAACTTCTTAATTTCTACATTACCAGTGTTCTGGCTAAAAACGAAGTAAGGCAAACAAAGAGCGCCGCAGAACACAAGAGTCATGTACTCAGGTTGAGAGTTTTTTGGGGTTTATTTGCCCCCAAAGATGGTGGCAACAGGAAGTGCACACACACATAGACAAAGACAGAGAGGGAAAAACAGAGGGAAAAAAGAAAAATACGCAGGGGCAAAGTCAAAGGCTGAACTAAGGAAAACAAAACATTCTGGCATTTCTAATTATAAGTAAATATTCATACTCACATTTCTACCAAAGAGAGTGTGTGCCAGTGTGTGTGTGTGAGTAAAGCACTTTAAAAGTTATTTACACACACACATGCTGAATGGAGGCAACCATGTTAGGCAGCCCGTAATGCATGCTAAAAAGTGTGAGAAAGTACATTAGGGTCACTGACGACTTTGACTACACTACAAAGGGGCGTGGCGGGAGGCGTGACCCGACAGCTGCCGGGTCAGGAAAAAATGGAGAGAGAGGTCAGGGCAGGGAGCAGATTCGTCCGCAATGGCAACCACTTTCGCTCTCAACTTGCTACATTTTGTGGCGAGTGTGTGTCTGGGTATGTGTGTGTGTGAGTGTGTTTGCCATAATGTACAATTTAAATGTAAACAATTTGGCCCAACGCGGCAAAGGCAGCCGTGGAATAAAAAGCAGTAAGTAAGGTCGCCAGTCCAAGGGGTGCAGGAGGTGGGCAAATGAAACAGCAGAGTCCGGCCGGAGTCTGAATAAAATATTTAAGACCCAGCAGCAGCAGCATCGAAGAGTTCCGTTCCATTCCGTTCCCTTTCGTTCCATCGCCCTATAGAAAATAGAAAGGCATATGGCAAAAGTGGCGCAGTGTAGCATCTGCTGCTGCCGCTCTGAATAGTGAAACTCAAATATTTATCTTGGCAATTGCCTGTAATTTGGTTTAGTTCCGACTTGCCACCGTTCTAAATAAACTTTTCATTAGCAGCCCCAGCTCCATGAAAGCAGCTCAAATACGCACACACACACACACACACACACACACAAAAAAAGGGCTAAGAATCGGGGATACATATTTATGCTGAGCTCGCTCTGATTTCAGTTAATTAACTAACTTATATTTTGCGTAATTGACTTTTATGTGCGTTTGGCAAACGTTTCAATCAAACCCCAACCACGCATATGCAGGCCACCACCATCCACATCCAACATCCACCAAGAAGACAAAGCCGCAACCGCAGAACAAAACCGCACTGCGCATACAGTGCGTATGTGTAATGTATAATGTGTTATGTGTTATGTGCTATATGTCAACCCCAATGGCCCGATCCGAATTCCACTCGCTAACGCTTTAAATATCAATTGAATAGTACCATTTGGCCAACACAAAAAAAAAGAAGGATGCGCACACATTGAAAGATTGCCAAATGCTATTTTTTTTTCGTCTTCTTTGTATTACAAAACTATTGCTGTTTTTTTTAGTTCGAATGCTGTTTACAATGACACGGCACACTTAATGGGGCAGCCTGTGAGTCTAAGTTTATTTAGCAAAAACGCTTTGTTGATTTTCTATTATTGTTTTTGCAACACTTTGGGTTTATTTTGCCCAAAGTTCATTAAACTATTGGATTGCAGCCAACAGTCGTTTTAAATAAAAGCCGAAGGAAAAAAATCAATTAAATATATATCCGCTGGCTGCTGTAGCGGTACGTAGATATATCCCTTAAACGAAGAGGCTCTTCGCCTTAAAGAGCCGCAAAGGCCTCCAACCACTGCATAATTAATGCAACGTTGTCTTGGGGCTGTGGCCTTGTGGCAGGAGGAAAGCCGACGGTTCCTAGCCAAATGGGGCACGAAAAGCTGCTGCTGCTGGCTGCTCTTGGTTTATGCATGCAAAGTAACACGCTGCGTATGCGCAATTTTCCCCAGTAAACTTAAAGCTTTACGGCCCGAGGGAAATCGTAAAATCGTAAAATAAAATCAAATAAAAACAGAACTGAGTAAAAACAACCCCAAAGAGCTTAAATCAATTTCCTATATTTTCACTTCATTCGAAAATGCATTCGAAAACACAGACAGACATTGTCGGGGCCCCATTGTCTTAATTAGAATTATAAAACAGCCATAAACACTCAACGCATTCGATGGAAATTAATTGATCCACGCTGCTGAGAGCCTGTCAAATGCACCGATGCACAAATGATGATGAGCTACCCAGGAACTCCCTCATGCAGTAAAAATTCCAATTGAATGGATGCTCTTGTTGCGCCCTCGTTCATCCATTCCATCTCTGGGTTAAGTAAATTACAAATGCCTAAAAATAGCCAGAAATAATGCGATGTGTCAAAACAAAACATCAAAAACGAGGGAGGGCCGCAGGTATAATCGCTGCGTTTCGGTTTGGTTTGCCTTGGAACTTGGAACGTTTTTTGAAGGCACATCAAAGACGACGACGAATTCGTCGTCCGCCTGCCAATAGAAGAATTAAATGTGTGGCATAAATCATTAGGAACGAGCCGCTAACAACTGGGCAAATGCCAGAGGCAATTAAAAATAGATCTGAATCTCCACTCGGAGGGGCACATCAAAAGTGCTCCCTGCGCTTTGCTTAATTGGTTGGAAAGAGGAAAGTGGAGTTGGAGAATCAACTGCAAAGCGGATATTCCTGCCGCTTGAGGGAATTGTGCAACCACATGCGTGTGCCCAACCATGATTTAGATTTAGACACTGCCATTTGGCCTCGCATATCCGGATAGGGATCCGGATCCGGGGCCATTCATAAGGATTTACGGCTAGGTGTCGTCTTCTCATGTTCGGTGGCACATATTTGCACAGCCTGCCGCAAGCCAAAGCGTTGACAAATTGCAGCAAGAAGCGGCATGAACAGCAGCCATTTTGTTTGCCATTTTGCTCAAGTTGTCAGCGAGTGCGCGCCGGCAAGTATGCAACGCATAACAAATGGCCAACTCTTTGGCTTTGCGGCCAAAAGAACACAGCTTAGAGAGCAGCTCTCTGGGATTTCAATAATTTGCAAATATTTTTGCTGCTCATACTGCATACTCGTACATTTTTTTTCTTTTGCCGTTTTTTCCCTCTAATCCCATCCAGTAGCGCTAAAAACATCAAAGAGCAACGAAAACACCAGCAAAAAACAACAAATAAAATGTTTTCGAGTATATTTCGCAAAATGAAACCTGTGCCAAAGTTTTTGGCGTCGCTTAAAATTAAGCCATAAAAGCTGAGCCGATCGAGTTGGGAATTTAAACTGCAAATAAACAGAGCTCGACTCGAGGGCAATTTAAACACATAACCATAGAGTTCTTGGCTTTAAGGAACCAGATAACGAGGCCTCCAAAACGAAACGACAGCCGCATTATTGTTCAGGTGGAGCAAAAATAAAAGAAGCCGCTCAGGCGGAAACAATGTGGAAATTTTACAGGTTGCCCTGTCAAATAAAATAACACAAAACATGGGCCCAACACACAAATTCACAAGAAATCATTTTTTGTCGAATCAGAAAAAAAGGAAAAATAAAAGTTTTGGGTGGGTGAAACCGACAAGGACCAAAAAAGAAACATCAAGCTCGACAACGGCAAACGACGCTGGGGTGACGACAACCGGGAAACGGAAGCGGAGTTGGAGAAATGTGACAGCAGCGGTACAAGGCAATGGGCGTGGCCATTGAGTAGGTGTGGGCACTGAGGCGTTTGGCCACCTTTCGTGGCGGGGCTGCCGCGAATGGCAAGCGGAAGCTTTGTGTTAAAATAACAAACAATCAGCCGAATCATGCAGGAAGTGCAAATAATAAATAAATATATATCGCAAGGAAAGGTATTGCTCCTGGATCAACTTTGCTATCTGGCGACAGTTCGCTTGCCGGGCTAATAAAAGAAAATAAGTGGACAAAACGGGGGAAAATCCTTTTGAAATCAAGATATTTTCAAGACCAGAAGGACAAATTGAGACGAATAATATGACATTTTTATTATGAAAGGACTTTGGAGTTTTATCGCTTTATAAAGGGTTAAATTGAAAGATTTTACAACAAAACGTTATTGAATTTGTCATTTATTGCTTAAATATTTATATATTTTAGATTTGTATTTTCTAAGCATTTATAAACAATCCTTTTTCTTTTCTTTCCACAGTACCCGCTCGATTGGTTTGGGCCGCCTTGGGCAAAACCGTGGAGCTGCCCTGCGACTTGACGCCACCCACGTCACAGGATTCGGTGAAGCTGCTGCTATGGTTCAAGGACACCACGGGCATTCCTCTGTACAGGTGAGCAAAACTACTTCCTTACACATCCCGGGGGTCACTGGTGCGTAATCATCCACTCTGAGAGCCTGCCAGACAGCCATCCATCCATCCATCCATCCATCAGGAGCGTGAAATAATCGTCAACATCCCTTTTCTTACACCTAACGTGTTATTTTTTCCTCGGCGAACGCTTTTGGCTTATTTCCGGCAGCTGGCACATGTGTACATGTGTGTGTGGATGTTTTGGGGCAAGGATGCGCCCGTCATAATCCACTTTGTTATAATAAATGTAAAGCACATCCGATTACCGCTGTCGTTGCTAAAGTGTAGCAAATTTTCACGCACACACGCATATGGACCTTCGGCCCCTCTCACACTCAGGGATTTTTATAAATTTGCGCTGATAAATTTTCAATATAAATTGTGGCAGCCAGCGTGTGCCCTGCATGCCAAGTGGCAAATGCCTTCCGACTTTGCGTGCCGCAGCCGGCAAAAACTCTAGGGAGCACTCATTAGAAGGGGTTTATGGATGGCAAAAGGGGCTGGATCTGTGTCAGCCATAGTAGCCGTAGCAGCCGTGCACGTGAAGTGGCCGGCACTCGATAATCATAAGCGGCTGCACTGCAGCAGGAGCTGGTAGCAATAGCACTGGTCCCTGTAAAATAAACTGAGTAATTTACGAAAACAGCAACAAATTACTGCAATTTGCGCAAAGCTGCCAAAGTCGCGAGGTACCCGAAGGCAAAATACAGGAGTTCAAGTCCTGCACACAGACAAATGAATGGAACACTCCGCACTAAACTCCTGGCTCATGGTGTGCAAATTGAGCGTCATTTTTTATGAACCTAAATTATGCGCGGGGAGCCATGGTAACTTATGCTCTTCGCATATGTTTATTTATGACATCTAATAATCGCTACATTGTACCACGCCCCCTCACTTACATTCTCCTTGAATTCTTTTTTGCTTATTTTCTGTAGCCTGGACTCGCGGGGCGGAAACGTGAAATTGGCGCCACATGCGGCCATAGCTAGCGATCTGGGGCAACGTCTGTTCTTCAGCATCGGCGATAATCCAAAGGATTCCCGCCTGCAGATCAACGATGTGAAGCCGGAGGATGGCGGCGTCTATCGGTGTCGCGTCGACTTCTTCAACTCCCCGACACGCAACTTCAGGCACAACCTGACCTTAGTTGGTAAGTGGCGATATTAGATGTTGCACCCTGGAATCGATGACTACTAAAGTGGGACATTATCTTGTATCCATTTCAGTGCCTCCCGAGGAGCCGCGCATCTTCGATGCCCAGGGCAAGGAGATAGCCCAGATGGCAGGACCGTTCCGAGAGGGCTATGAGCTCTTCCTCTGCTGTCAAGTGAGGGGAGGTGAGTTATCAGATTCATATTGCAGGCTGCTGTTTTCAGGAAAATATATATTTGCTGCATAAAAAGAAACAAGTTTGAACGTCTTTCAACAAGAACAGTATGTCTATCTGGTATTCATTTCAATTTCAATTTAAAAACACATTAGTTCGGCATATAATAATTTGCTTTTTTGTTTAGCCATAAAACCAAAATATTCCTCATTTATTTCAAACTTTTTCCCTGTGCACTTGAACGCACTTTATGCGGTGGTTTGACCCACTTAACTGTCGTTCGTTTAACTGTGCTTGTCAGAGCCACTGCCACCTCAGTCTGACGCATTGTTTACCATGGCACTCACGAGTGTCAATTGCAACCGGTTGGAAGGATCCTTCATATCCTGCAGCACTATGGCTGAGAGGCCCGCATCGGGCTGAAAGCGAGCAACTGCTGGTATCACAAACCCATTGAGCGTTCTTCCATCTCCCTCTTTTGCAGGACGTCCCCCGCCCAAAGTCACCTGGTGGCGCGATGACACCGAGCTAATCGGCACCAGCCACACATCCGTGGAGGAGGGCACCCCCGTGATGGTTAATCAGCTGCTGATTGGAACCACCACGCGGGACTTTTACGGAATTCGCATTGAGTGCCGGGCACAGGGAACGAGACTGGTGGAACCGGTCCGCAAGGATGTCACCGTGCAGGTTTACTGTGAGTCTTCTCCCCCAATAAATATTTGCATTTCATTACATTTACTGGTCCGCAAGCAACTGGCAAGCGAAAGTTTTGCATTTCACTTAAAGTCATGAAAACATTCGTTTATTAGTGGTCTTGTTGACCAAAAAGTCATTTTACCTTTTACCCGAGAAATAAAATGAAGTCAAAAATATTTAAAGATTTTCTTTAAAGTTTTAAGTCTTGAGAAAATCCTGTAGTTAGCCCTTAAACAAGATAGTAACGATTAACCCATCTAATTACCTTTTTTAATTCCAGTAAAACCTGTCCGCGTGAAAATCGCAACGCCCAACGACTTGCTGACCGCCGGACATCCCGTGCCTATTCGCTGCGACTCCTGGGGCTCATATCCTGCGGCCAAGATCACCTGGCTGCTGGATGGCGAGCCCATCCGGAATGCCGAGGTCACCGTGCACAGCGACAAGGAGGTGAGTGTATATCCTTGCCAAATTGCCCGAAATTGTCTGACTATTTTGAAAAGGGAGAGAGGTGGGGAGGGTGTCTAAGGGATATTGGGTGAGGAGAAAGTTTTCATTCTTGTTGCCGTTCCCAGGACAACGCAACTTTGTGCCGGAAAATTTGCTTCGAGCGTTTGACATTTGATAGCTGGCCGCAGTGCAGCAGGCACTTCTACACATATATAACGCTGTGCGGCGCTTAATAGCTCCAGATTCGGGTCCAACAACAAAGGCAACCGAGGCGACCACTGGGTGACCCTAAATGCGAGAAGGGCAAACTTTTCCAACAGCCGCAGAGAGACAAAAAGGAGCAGGGAGCAGGGTACGAACACAAGTTGACTCTCCGTCAGCCTCCGCTTCTTTGATGAACTGCATTGGCGAAAAGTTTTGGCCAAGCTGCACAAATTTGCACTCTATGGAGCCCCGTCCATTGATTCGGCTAATGTGGGAATTTTTATTGGAATTCATGGAGGGCCGACTCCACAAACTATTTGTTAGCAAATGGTAGCAATTTTTTTAACTGCAGCCCGCATTTATCAGATCCTTCTGCTGCCCACTGGTTTCTGGTGTCTCACTTTTCGGCATCCATTAGTTCCTCTTCGTGGCGGAACAGGCTGCCTTTTTCGCTTTCTAATTATGCCATGTAAATGGATAGTTGCTGCCAAACGTCGCCAGGCATTAGTCAACTCGTGCATAACCGACTCGACTTCGATCCCTGGGACAGATTTCCACACACGAGACAGAGAAGGAGAGAGAGAAAGAGAGAGAGAGAGGGAGTGGAAGTCCAGCGCTTGTTAGTTTTCCTGACCTGGCTTCGATTGTTGCCAAAACGTGGCTCGACTTTGGTCCTGGAGCTGGTTGATGTTGTAACTTAATACCCAGTTTGCCATGAGCTCCTCTGCACCGCACTGCCATCTCTGTTTCGAGGGCTCACTGGGTTCTGCTGCACAAGGACATCGGCTTAGCTCGAAATTCGAGTCATTATTTCCAAAGACCGTCCTGGAAAATGCTACTCGAGTGGCCACAGCATATACCCTGAGCTAACGAAAGTTGCCCATCAAACTAGGGCATATGACAGCACTAAAAGAGTTTAAATTTCACCGAAAGATATCTCATATTTCTTAGCCAAAGAGTGTATCATGTTAATAAGTTTTATCAGAGTTTTTAAATTATATAACAAACTGGGATTTTGTATCATAAATAATTTAACGCTTTCCCTAGAAATTGATGTTCCCCCAGGTTCGCAGAATTTCAAATTGTACTTTATAAAAAAATGAACTGAAATATTAAATATCTTTGGTAGAAGTTTCTGTGGCCTCAGGCTTATATTCTTGGTATTAAAAAGAATTTTGGTTCCTGGAAGATTTCCTTATTTTACCATCAGTAAGCCTTAGCTAACATGCTTTTCGTTTCATTTCCAATTATTCCACGCAGGACGGCAATATCACCACCAGCATCCTGACATTGAAGGTAACATCTGAGAACGATAATGCCGAGCTGACGTGTCGCGCCACGAATCCCTGGTTCTCCGGTGGCGCCATCGAGGACAAGCGCATCATCCGAGTGGCATGTAAGTACACACACAAGCACAGTATATATTCCTCCTATTGCGACAGGTGAACTCGGAACTTGTTATTAGCAGAGATGCGGCCTCTGGAATAAAGGCTGTTGGGTATTTGGGTCTCGGTCTGGGTCTGAATCCTGGGCCATGTCCAATACAGGCTTTTGTGTATTCTTAGCACAAGCTGCCCAGGTCCTGGCCTATTTCTGTATGTGTGTGTGTGTGTGTGTGTGTGTGTATTGGCTGGACCGAGCAAAGTCCAATTAGACGCATATTACGGCCAGAGCCAGCGTAATTTTATTAAGGCCAAAGGAGCCAAAGGATCCGGAGCCGAGCAAGTTGGCCGGAGGCCACATCAACCTGTTGGCCACCTCTCTCGCTAAGCCGCTTATAAAATGCAGTCAAGTTGACTTCAATGTCGTGTTCTTCGACTTGCCTTGATTAAATTTGCACCGTTATGTTTCTATTGCTCCTTTTTTTTGCTGGCCTCCATAATATTTGCAACATCCGCTTCCGGCTTCCGCTTTACATTACTCCCTCCACCGCTCTCGCTGAAGTTTCTTTGTATAAAGGAGGATGCACTTCGAGAAACAAGAAAAACTCTGTGGATTTTCAATATTCTTCTTATGTAGTTTGAGTCAAAAGAGCTTCTTTAGCTTATGAAAGTTTAAGCTGAGTTTAGTATTAAAACTCGTCTAGTGTATGAAATTAGTATTAATGCTGGAAAGAAAGGTAAAATCTGTTTGCATTACTTATGACTACATCTATTTTCTTGAAGTGTATCAAAATATAGGAAGCTGAATTACCTGCACTCAAATCAGGCCGGCAGTTGACTTGATTCGCCTGCTTTTCATTTTCTGCTGCTTTTTAATAATTCACCATAAACGTCAGGATATTTTTTTCTGCCGACCAAACAGCCCACGCCATTGACATTTGAGAGCCTTAGAATGAACCACTATAGTTCAGTACCTTCCCCATGCTCAAACTTCAGATGGTGGACAAATGACTGGCCTGGGCCAAGTGGCGCCGACAGTCTCAGACGCGTATTAGATTTTTACAACCGTAACTAATAGTCCCATTTGGCGTGTGGTCAAGAGGCCGTGCGGCGGGGACGAGGCCTCGTCTTCCACAGCCCCAAAAGGATATACAGATGTACAGCAGCAGCAGCAGCAGCTGGGGCTAAGTACATTACGCAATGCCGCTGTTCAGTTAGTTCACCTCCTGGGCCATTGCCGTTTATTATTTTGACTTTTATACAGCAATTCGCTGCGCTCATTAAGTCGGATGCCGCACTTACTTATTCGCTTGCCTCTTACAGATCCACCCACAGTATCGGTGCACTTGGCCAATGAGGATCCCAGCCGACTGGTGACCAGGGCCGAGGGACAGAATGTCACTTTCAAATGCCGGGCGGATGCCAGACCGCCGGTTACCAGCTACTCCTGGTTCAAGAATGTAAGTAAACCCACTGATTTTCCCACCCTATTCTTATCATCATCATCCATTTTCACAAGTCCCAGTCCTCCAGCCTCCCAACTCTAACGACCAAGGGCAGCTGACGTGTATCATACACTTTTCGAAAATTTTTATTATCAATTGTTGGTGGCCCCAAGGCGTCGACATTCCTGCGGCTCTATATAAGCAGACACTTTTGCGGTTTAATTTCATTTTGTCAGGATAGCTTAAAGCTGGAAAATTCCATGGCATTCCTGCTGGGCGAGGGATAACGACGCTGGTCAAGAAGTTCTAGAAAGTGGTCTAACAAATGCCTTGCTCATTTTTCAAACGTCTTATAATTGGCTCATGATGTCCATTGAAGTCCATTCGTGTTGCAAATTATTTAACTATTAATCATGCGACAAATAAACCGAAAGAGATTGAGATTGCCGCCCCTCACATTTCACCATTTTTGTGCTACATTTTTGCCGGTCAAACCATTGTTGACTAGCTGGCTGTGACTTTGTCTTGGGTTTTTATTATTAAACCGCATGATTCTGACATCCTTTGACAGTTTTGTCCACATGGTCACATCATCATTTTTCATAACTAGCAAAAACCATAAACCCGAGCTCATATTTTCTCTTCACATTTTTCTCCCTTTTGGCCGGGCAGTTAACAAATTGCCAAAATCATTTGGCAGAGGGATGGTAGAGTGGTAGGAGGGTGGTTTTCTAAAAACTTCTCTTTATTTAGGGCACTTTGATTTTTGATTTTCAGTTGGCCTTTTTCTGGTTATGGCATTAATAGGCCGAGGGAGAATGAGCCAAAGAATTATGAAAAACGACTGGCCAAATGTGCGCAAAAAAGTTCTAAAGAGCCAACTTTGTCACTTCTTCGAGTTGTTGGCCGTCAGTTTGCCGTATAGATTTTTATTATCAGAATGTTTTCCGCTTTTCCTTGCCATTTTCCAACGTCACCAACTTTTTCCACTGGGTCAACTTAAACTTTTTAGCCGGCGGTGAAGTGTGTTGCTCGTTCTCGTGCTCGGTAAATTAATGGAATCCCACAGAGGAATCAAATTAAAGCTGCTTTCGAGCGAATACACAAATGTGTTCTCCCAACTTTTCCTGTACGTCATTGTTAAATGCATTATTGCACAAGGTCCAATGCAATTACCGCCCACCATCAGGGCATCCATGGCTTTTTAATGAATTTTACAAATAATCAAATGATGCAGCATGGCCAATTTGCGGCGGATCTATAACGCGTGTGTTTCCACAGAGGGAGAGAGGAGAGCACCGATGGGCCCTGGTGCAAATTAGCTGTCAATGATACATGCCACATAGCATAGGCAGTAGGTAGTAGTGGGCGGTGGAAGGAACTTAAGCTATTTAAATTGCATTATTATTATTATTATTATTATTATGAATTAATTAAACGCATGTGCAAATGTCAGCCGGGATTTTGCTACTAAATGCATAATCGAATTATTCCGGAGTCAAGCTGTGCTAATGGAGCATTCGCTTTCGCATGGAGTCACTTGTCGGAATCGCCTGCGATTCGATATATATGATTGAATGAGCATTTTGGGTGCCGCCTGCCAACTGGCAAATGTCAAATGCTGAAATGCTAAATGCCGAAAAATACATTAATTTGATTTAATAAAATCCGTTTATTATTCAGCCCACTAAAATACCGCATTAGGCGGCGGCAACCGCAGAAATTGCCCAACTGTCCCACTGCTCCACTGCCAGTCGGACAAATGGCGAATAGCCAATGCGGGAAGCATTGGGTCCATTGTGGTTGCCATTTAGTGCTGCTAGTGATGGGGGTTGTGGGTCATGTGGTCACTCGACAATGCAGCCGGCACCACCGCAGATTGTGCCATCTAAGAACAGCCGGACAATACTTTTCGGCATATGTGATTGTTGAAGGCAAATGGGGGAGAGACCTCACAAATAAGATGTTAAATATGAAATAATATCATAAATTAAAATATTAAGAATTATATTTATTTTATTTTTAAATTGTATGAATGAATTTTTCTGTTCAATATATGAAACGATTTCTTTTAATATATAATATCGCCATATTATTCGTTTTTAATTTTTAAAAATAATGAAATGGAATATTATATTAGTTTGGGAATATTTTACAATCAAATTTATAGCCAACAGGCCAATATAAGAATGAAAATCTGAAATAAATGCACATCCAAAAAGAAGGAAATGTCAACCGCAAATTTAATTAAATGTCAAAAAGAATATTATCCCATAAATATATAAAAAGGAGTGTAAAGTCTTTCTGTATTATTTTTTGGTATAAAATTAAAAACGTTATACATAAAACATAACCAAAAGCAAAGGAAAAGTATATACTTTTTGTAGCCTGAGCTCTTAAGCTTAACCGCAGTTTAGAACGATTTAAACAGTTTGAATGGATCTCATCGGCTTCCCAACCGCTTGAAACCCCCCCAGAAACCAATTCAAAACCCGTAATAATATCCCCTTCTTCACATTTCAGGGCATGCGAATGTCGGGCGAGAGCACGGAAATAATGCACTTGACGCAGCTCGAGAGGGAAAGTGCGGGGGCGTATGCCTGCGGGGCCACAAATACGGAGGGCGAAACCCGGAGTTCGAGCCTCACTTTAAAAGTGCAGTGTAAGTACAAGTTGCGAAAATTTGAAATAAAATACATACAAAACTATGTCAGGGGATGGTGGTGGAGTGAGGATACGACGTGATGAAATAACATGGGAAACCGGAAACGGAAGCTGCAGAATAAAATCAAAATCAACAAGCAATGGCTGCCGCCGGAATAAAAGTTGCCAACTTTTTGGGGCAACAGCGGATGGGGAAATTGCTTAGAAATGATGCATGACCGTCGCTAACTCCATCTGTAACTGTCGGCGTTTGTTGCCCGCTTGTTTACAATTGTAAAATTCTGAAATTCGTGCTGCCACTGCCGCTGGCTCTGGAGCTGGAGTTGGCCTAAACAACCGCCATTGATTTATACACACGCACAGACAAAACTTTCGCCTATAAATTCAGCACTCGCAATTTTTCCCAAGCTCACCAGCGCCACAGAAAACTTTTCATAAACCTCACGGTCCGATTTTTCCGCAGCCTCGGGTCGAGTTCTCATGCCTTTTGGCCATTTTTTGCTGTGATTAATGTGGATTTCATATACTACTACTCGCACAAGCGATTTGGTTGCATAAATCAGAGGGAAAGCTGCACAATCGATGGAGTGACTCAGAGCCGCACGAGTGGGTCTTAAGTACACTATTTGGCCGTGGGTTCGTGTACCCACACATGGCATACAATCTTGAGAAAAGGATTCAAGAAAACGATGTTGCGTAGCCCCTTTGTTGGCAGCATTTATTGTGTTGTCAGCTTACAAGATGAAAAAACGAGTGGAGAAGAGAAAAGAAGTCTTTTCATGTTACCAACGGCGGAAAACCGGAAAACTGCCACGTTTCTTTGGCTGCCACTTTGACAATCTGAAATGCATTTCTGCAACCCGTTTCCCAGTGCCGTACGACAGTTTAAGTAGTTTATATTTGAAATTATGAAAGTTTCCCGAGAGTCGTCTTTGCATTGAGTTTGGGCTTTAGGTAACTTTGCCCACATTTGGGCTCACACACACACACACACTCTATACACACCACACACTCATGCCACAGCAACAAGTTTGCAGACGCAGACAGATGGCTTAAGTACTCGACGCTGAAATGCAGCCGACTTGTGATAAAAGCCAAGAACGTAGTAATGAAGCTTCGAATGCTTATCTGCCTTGGCGTGACTTACATTTTAAAGGCGGCTTTCAGCACACAATCTGGGATACTCTGATACTGGGATACTGGGATACTGGATACCACCACCACCAAGACTTCAGTATTCAAACAGACAGACACATTTTCCCTGGGGGCAAGGCAGAGCTTCCGCATATCTGCTCTCATTTCACAGCCAAGTGAAAGTAAACGCCGACTGACTCGCTTTTCTTCCGATACCTGGCACACAGATTTTCCCGCTAAGCTACACATAAAATAAATAAAAAAAAAGAAGACGACTGAAAAAAAACCTGGCGAACACAAACCTCCTCGTTCGTGAAACGGAAACATGTTAATTACTATGCTCAAGGCTATGTAGCTGGCTCGACTTCCCTTTGGATTCACCAACCTCCTATCTTGCCTCATATTTTTGTGTATATTTCGAGGGGGGAGGCTCTACATCTGCCCCTTATCCCCCCGAGAAATGGGCGGAGGTTGTTTGCTCTCCAGGGGGGTGGCTCAACGAATTTAAAATGGAAACTTTTTGCTGCCCAACAACTCGATGCCATGTACATTTATGAAGCTCACGATTTGCTCATCTTTTTCCAGTTTCCCCGCGCTGTAAATCGGGCACCGAACAAACCTCCATTGGAGCCGTCAGTCTTCACTCTATCCTGGTCAAATGCGAGGTGGATGCTGATCCACCGGACTCCGTGCGCTTCAGTTGGACGTACAACAATACCAGGAATGTGTCTCCGGTAAGTCAGCCTACAAGGACTACTACTACTTCTTTATACTACAGGGAAAAATAAGATTTTTGATTATACAAAAAAGAAGAAAAAGTTAAAAACGATTACCAAGAGCTTCCACATTAAAAATTATTATGGAGCTGTTTACTTTTCTTAAATTTAAATGTTTCGATTAAGAAATATATTTGAAAATCAAGTTCGAAGTTTTTTTTCTCGTGCATCAGGACTAGGCCAAAGGTACCTTGTCCGGATTCCAAACCGAACTTATTGTGTCTGTAATTATGCCGGGAAACGTGCTGCAGCCGGAGCTTGGGCCCGACTGTCGCAATTACTCGGAATGCCAGCCAGTAGGATCAAGTGCAGGAACAGGAGCAGGCGGGTTGGAAGGAGCCAAGTTCGAAGTCGGGTGCTATTAGCAGAACTTGTGCTAAATACTCGAGGGTTGTCTGGGATTTTCGTTCGACAATTCAGAGCAGACGAACAATGGTCGAAGCTGGGAATCGAGCGCCGTACGTGACTGAATTAAAATTTAATCAAAATGTATAAATTCGGAATGGTTGGAGAGGGGTGGCAGAACGGTTAGTGGGTTGCTACTACCTACGTTCGAGGGAATTTAAAATGCAAACCGTTTAGGTGCAAAGCAAAGGACTGCAGAGCTGGCAGAAAAAGTAAAGATAGATAGAAAAAATAGCTGACCAAACGAACCGAAAGACTTGCATATGTGACTCGACGGTTCTGGGACAGCTGTGCACCATAAATAAAGTAATTCATTTACCGCAAAAGTTATTTGAAAATCTGCACGAAAACCCGGATGGCCACAGGATGACTTATCCCGTCTCCAGTCCGATTCGTTTGCCTTGCAATAAAAACTTATTTGCCTTCAAATATTTATGCTCCGGTTCACTCTGCTCAGGATCCTGGTCTGGGAATCGTTTTTGGTTGGATGCTCTGGTCTTACTTTGATTTCGACTCGATTCGATTCGTTTCGAACTGCACTTGATCCTGCCTACGTTAGCACAATGAAGCCGCTCTAATCCCTTGGCTTTGGCCGTCTCCCCCTTACATTACAGGTGCTCAACTCAAGGATACAATCGAACGGACTGGCCAGCACGGTGACGTATCTGCCGCAGACGGACTCCGAGTTAATAACGCTGGCCTGCTGGGCCAGCAATGCGGTGGGCCGCCAAACGACGCCCTGTCTGGTGCACATCCTGCCGGCAAGTAAGTGGAACTGGAAGTCGAGAAGCCCAAGCCCGAACTTAAGTCGAGTCGAGGAAGTTGTTGCCACAAGATGCCGGCACTTACCTCCATCTTCGCCGCAATTTAAACAAGACTGGTGTCGGTATTGCCACCGGTGTCGGTGTTCTCGTCCCCCTTCTCGTCCATCTCTTATGCACACATAAGGATCTACTTACATAATTGGCGAGTGTGTGCCGAATGGAAGGAGATGTGTGGTGGATGGTGGAGGACGGGGTAGCCGGAGCGCCGGTACCGGTGTACTTTGCCAAAATGTTGCCAAATAATCCTCAGGTTGAATTGGCTGACGTTGCTGCAGGTCTTGGCCAAATTCGGTTGTTATTAATGCAAAGTAGGGGTGTGGTCTTGCACTTAGGAAAAGATTTATCTTCAGTCTTGGAAAGTTAAATTAAATTATTCAATTCTTAATAATATATAAATAATCCCTTATTATTAGATTACTTTCTAATTATCCTTAAGGATTGCTCGTCTAAAAATGTTTTCTGCTATACAAATTTTCTTAACTAATAACTCTTTTTCTGACCTTAAACCCAGTAATGACTTAAAGGAAGTAGAGAATATTTCCCAGAATAATTGAATCCTCCCCATTTTATGCAAGTCCGCCCTTGGGGTAAAATCAAAGCTGACTTAATAATTTTAAGGGCGTATCCGCACTCTTTATTTTTGTTTTAACGGGGCAACGCCTTCATTTGCGGCAAAGTGGCGCTTTAAGGCGACAGGAGCTGCTTTTAAATGCAATTACGGCTGGGGGGTGGCCAGTGGGCCATTAAGCCCCGGCTTGTCTATGACTATGACTAACTGCTATCTGGATACCCTCTTCTTCTTTCCCGTAACTTTTCCATAGACACTCCGGAGGCACCAAAGGCCTGCGAGTTGCGCAACGACACTGTCCTGGAGGTGGTTTGTGTGGCAGGCAGTGACGGCGGCCTTTCGCAATACTTCATGCTGGAGGTGGTGGGCGGCGACCCGCTGTACGCCGGTGATCCAGGTGGATCGGTGGGACAAGGACGAGGTCAGTTCAGCGAGGCTATTGGCCTGGGCGACAACGAGATATCCACTCTGAATGATCAGGTGAGTGCAGCATCAGCAGCAGCGGCATCATCAAGAGCTGTAAAATTCAGTTAGTCTAAGTTGATAAGTTCCGTCAGGCTAAAAGTAAATTGCTCAATTAAATTAAAATTAACTCACGGTTCGGCGGACAGCCAGCAGCTAAAAACAGAAGCAGCAGCTACACAAACGGAAACAGAAACAGAATCTAAAAGATTTAAAAGCGCCGGGAGACTGTTAGAGGCAATAATTCACTTGAAATCCATATGGTCAATTAGTGTGCATGTCCTTTGACTTTTCTGCTTGAATTATTAATAAATATTTTGGGGCGACCATGGCGGGGCATTTCTTCAGCTCAACTCACTCGACTGTAAAAGGGACAACATAATTAATGCTGTGAGTCGTCCTTACATGGTGGAATGGGTGCTGTCCCTAGGTCACCCTAATACCCTTTGTCCAGACTCCAAGGGAGAGTGCATGCTGAGTTATTAAATTATCTCTGTCACTCCTAGATGAGAATATCATATGAAAATTTCATTTCATTTCGTTTGGCTGCTTTCAACAGCCTTGATGAAGCGCTTGCCGGGTGAGTTTATTAGCAAAGTAGCCAAGCGCAAAGCTCATCACGAGGATGGTCATGAAAATGAAAATGGAACGATGATGATGATAATGATGATGATGATGATGTCGACTATGACCATGATCATGATGATGATGGCTGGGCAGCCCCGACATCATCTCCGGACTCTGACCCACGCGTTGGTCCTTTGGCAGGCAGCTTTAAAGTTTCATGCTAGATAAAGGACACACACATTCGCACGGAAAACGAAGGGGGGATGGAGGCAGTGCAGAGTGAGGTTGGAAAAGTGCCGCAAGGACAACATAAATTACTTACGCTTACTTGAGTGGGAATTTGTGCGTAACCAACGAAGCTCACTCGATTGTGTCCCATTACGGCAAACGGATATTCAGTTTAAAATTTCAGACACTGTCCTGTTTCTGTTTCTGTTGCTGTTTCTGTTACGGTTTCTCCAACGGCTACTCTGGCTGCAGAGTACAGTTGTGCCTTCGTATTTTTTAAGCATGAATAATTATTTATGCGTTGGGTCTGCGTTGGGACTGAAAAGTTAAAAATACATGGCATACTTTGCAGCGTATGGCGAGTGAATTATAAATGCGCTTGTTGTCATGCTCGCATCCCAAATCAGCCAAATATACTCATATCTATATATATATATATATAATTCCAGGCGACATCTGCACCCATCTTCCGCATGCAGGAGAACAGTCCACAGTTTCGTTTGAATAATTTAGAGCCGGGACGTGAATATCAATTTTTAGTTTACGCCGTCAACGCCAAAGGACGAAGCGAGCCGCCGGTGGTGATTGAGAATGTACGCGTGGCCGCCCAACTGGGACCATATGGTGAGTACCCCAATCCCTCGATCATGTCCTGTTCTGTCCCCAAAAAAAAAAATAAATAAAAAAGCAAACACACACCCAGAAACTTGACAGTTGAGAGGCGGAAACTGAAAAAAAGGCAGGACTCTCCTGCTAATCACATAAAGAGCACAAGTTATGGCCACCCGAGTAGCTAGTTTGTGGGTCACTTTTTTACCCAGAGCCGATAAAATACCCAGTGCCTGAAACTGGAACTTGAGACCGAGACCGAAGCCGAAACTGAACCTGAAACTGTGAACCCTTGAACAGCTGAGGACGGAACTGTCTAATTCAACGCTTGACTGCATTTTCAAATCAACGCAAGTTCGGGGAAATCGTCTTCAATCAGCCGCCGCGAAAAGTTCGCACATGGCGTCATTGGGAAGCAGTCCGTGGAGCGAAAGGAAAAGCAAAAACCTGAAGGAGAGGCCTGAGAGGATTCGGTTCCACCCCGAGGACGAGACGCCCTTTTCTAATCCACTGACTGAGTTATGCAGTGGAGCGGAAAGCATTTCAGCATTTTCCATCAATTCTTTGAGTGGGGCACACGCATATTACGTATACGCAGGGGCGTGCCACAACAGCCTCTTCATTTTGCTCCTGCCTAACGACATAATGCGACTCTGCCTGTCTCTGTGTGCGTGAGTGTGTGTATAAATGAGGAGTGTGTGTTAGTATATGTATGTGTGTGAGTGCCTGGGTATTTGTGAGCCAAGCGTAAGCGGAATTGCTTCAATTTTCGTTTTGCTTAACGGCCACCGTAGACACTTTTCTTTTATTGTTCCTTTCGCCATTCTCAGCTCTCAGCTCTCTTTCAGAGCTCACACACAACTACGAGCACGACAACAATGTTGTCATTATTTTCATGCTGATTTTTATTTTTATCTGCATTTCCATTACCATTTCCACTTGCCTTGGCCATTTTCATTCCGTTCCTTGTGCGCTCCTCTCGCCCAGTTAGCCATAAATCACTCATATTACCCGATTTAATGGGGCTAATTGCATTTGATACGCAAATGTTCGATTAAGCGCACTCACTAGATTTTCGGCGCAGTCAATTCGCTGGCAAAACTTATTTACATGAAACAACAACAGCTGCCCGGAATCCATGGCACCTCGACATTTCCCCGGAGTTACTTATGTATGTTAATGGCGCTGCCACAGACACACACACACACACACACACACAGACAGACTCGTAAATTCGGCCTCTGTGATTACACAACCGAGACTATGGACTCCGGTTTTTCGGTGGCTGGGGATCCTTCTAATTTATGCGCACTTTTAACAGCCAACCTAGCCCACGCAGATTTTTATTTCGGTGGGCATATGTGGGCCCATAAATTCCATAGCCGTAGGCCGTCGTCGCCTAAAAACCGTTGCCACCTAACCGGATTTCGGGAAAATAAATAAAATGAAGGCAAATCAGCTGACGCTGATTTAAATCAGTTTACGCAGAACTCATCAAGAGAATTTATTACACTTTGTGCGGAGGAAAGGAAAACGTGAAAAATATCAGGAAAAAGTGGCCACTTGAGCTCGAAAAAAAGCATCAAAGGCAAATAAATAAGCAAAACAATGTAAAGGAAGGCGAAGCCAAGGCCGGAGACGGAGCAAACTGATTAAAAAACAGGCTAAGACGATGACGGAGATGCTGTGAGCCATGGCATCAGAAGCCAACCAATGCCGATCCAGTCCAAAAGGCCAGGCAATAACGAGAGAAGCAGCAACAAAAATTAAATTGAGCCGCAGGTGTAGGCAATTTCCACTCAAACGCTCACTTCAAAAGCCACCAGCCAGGAGAAAGGCCATGGAGCTGGAGCTGGATCTGGTATGGTGTTGGCAATGTTTCAATTCCGAGGCCGTTGCTTTGACGGCCCGCAAATGGAGCGGAAATGCTTGCCTGCCAACGAAAATCGTACGGGGGAGAGAGGGGTCTGGCATTAACGAATGTCTGGCATAAATCTTGCCCGGGGATCATCTTACAATCAGTTTGCCTTTTGGGGCTCTGAGCCTCGAGCTCCGCTCGCACATTATGTTGCAATTTCCGCTGGCTGGAAATCTAATAAATATAAACAATGCCTCACATGTTGCTCATAATTGCCAAAAGTGCCATCAGGTCTAATCGCTGGTAATAATAGGTGGCCAAAAAGGTGGGGTCGTGTGGTCTTTGATTTTCATAATTCCTCAACTACAGCAGCTAACTATTTATCATGCCCGCATGAGATCTGCTCTGACAATTTGGCTAATTTCAATTTTCAACCCAATTTCCCTTCTCATTCCCAATGGGGCCAAGGAAAAACACAATAAGCAAACAGTCAAAAGCAATCAGTTAGGCAAAAGAACACGGCACAGCAAAACAAATAAATAAATAAACGGCAGCGAGGCGGGGCAAACAGAAATCAGCAGGAGCATCAAACTAATTCCGAGCAAATAACAAATCATTGCTAGACCCCTGAAACTATCTCAGACTCGACCTACGACCTATGTTTTTGCACTGAAAGAAATGAGGACTGTGACCACCCTGTATTATCAACATTTTGTTGCCATTTTTCTCTCAGTGCTTTAATAGAATCGCCCATCTTTTCTTCCAGATGAATCCATTCTGTCCGAGGACCCAACGCCCGCAGAAACAACGCATCATGGAGGCGGTGGCGTGGGCGGGAGCGGAAGCTCCAGCGGTCTGGGCACCGGCGCCAGCACGGGCAGCGGTCCGGAGAAGCAGTCGACGCTGCTGATACTAGCCGCCGTCGTGGTGATAGGCGCCGTTGTGGTGACGTCAATTATCGTAGCCGGCATCGTCGTGGTCTGCCGGCACCGGCCGCGACCACCTGAGCCGCAGGAGGTGCGCAAGAGCATGCGGTAAGTCTGGGAGTTGGCCCTTTTTTTTCCATTCGGATGCTGGAAAAACTAATAATGAAATTGTTTGCTGTCGGCATGTGTGTGTGCAGAAATAATTAAGAAATTATTTATGTGAGGCACGTGACTGACAGCCGAGGATGAAGAAAAGCCGCGTGGGAGTGAATAGCATAGTGAAGGCATAGCATACTTTCTTGCGCATTTCTCCCTTATGCTTATTACTCAGAAAGTAATTAAATGACAGCCGCGCAGAATAGGGCGCTCAATCAATGGGTCTCTTACTTTAAACTCACCTGCCAGGGCGAAAAGGTTGAAAGGCGGCCCATCTGGACCCGGTGGTTAATGTTGGGTTCATTAAGGCGATCGCCTAAACAGTTTGAGGCCGACAATCGATTAGAGCCGAGCACGCACCTGCCCAGTAAATTATGCTTAGTCTGTAATTAAATTAATTAAACCTGCACCTGACGACGAGTAACTCGGGTAGTCAGCCTAACACAGGGCCAAAGTCCAATGGAAAACGGAAAAGAATGGCCGTAAACGAGGTCCGGAAACGAGGCAGCCGCACAAGTTGGAGTTTCCATTTAAGATAGGAAATCAGCGCTGTATCTGCGAAAGGGTCGCGCCCCGTGGGTGGATAATTAAGCAGCTGCTTAGCTGATGTACCCGCCCACTTTCGATCCCTTTGGCCTGCTGGCTAATGAAAGATAAACACACAGTGCAGCTTCTGCCCTTTAGATGGGGTAAGGGTACAGGTCGAACGTCGATGGTTTCCACCCTTTTTTCTTGTATTCCAGCTAGCGCACAGCCACACTGATTGCTCAATAATGAATTCGGGCAGCCACTTCAAAGCGCAATCCAACGAAATATTAATTATAGTTGCCGAAAATAGTACCCAGGCACATCAAAGCGAACGGCATGCGGGTCATTAAATGGTCATCACAACTGTCAAACGCGCTGTGCCATCGGTTCCGCGCATAAATAAAACCATGGTGCACCTGTGTGTCGCCACCAATCAACCCCCTCTATATAGACCGCCCATCGCAACTTTCAGTCGCATGTGCGTCTATGCATAAATTTTAATGATTTGCCTTTTGCGGCAAAGTATTAGTGCAAATATTTGATGCGCACGTGTGCGCGAATCTGACTGATAAGAGACGCAGTTGGGGAGTGCGGCGTAATTAGCTCCACTGGCGGCAATCGGTTTATATTTAATTTACAATGGACCATCGAGCAGGCTGATTAAAATTCGAGGGTCCTCGAGAGAAATGGTAATATTTTTGCCAATATTTATCAAATGCCAAATGCGGAGTTGTTCGGCGAAAAACGCATTAAATCCGCTTTGAAAAGGAGCTTCACGCGAACATTGCGCATCCGCCGTGTGCACCGACAAGCCAAATGAATTTATTTTATTTTCTGGTTTTGCCAGCCTCCCATCCCCCAACCCGACGGCCATCTGAAAAGTTGGCACAGTCGTTCCCCAGGTGATTTCGGGGGGTTTTGAATGTTGCTGTTTATATTGAAATTTGAGTCGCCTGAGAGCCGGCAGCTGGTTCAGTTTGTCCAGTTTGCTAAGCTCTTTCGTCGCACCTTGGGAACTATTAGCCACTAAACTTTTTATTCCCTGTATTTTTCAATGCTTGTGTTTTTCTTTTTTGCTTCTGTACATTTTTAGGCCTGCGAGAAACGATGTGCCAAGCATGTACATCGAGGAGGACGAGCTGAACGAGCTGGAGGAGGGAGGCGGACGAGCGGCGGATATTAGGGCACGAGTGGCCCCGCCCAATGCCCACCTGTGCGGCGGCGGTGGAATGCCGATGCCTGGAGGAGTGGGGTCAAGTGGCGGTGCCATTGTGGGTGTGGCCGGACCCCATCACTACATCTCCGAGAGCTTCATCCAGTATGCGCAGCCCAGCCTAAACGGTACTATTCCAAAATCTATACTCAACAAGCTGTAGTAGTAGATGTAGCCATATATCCGTAGTCCTAGTCAAGTAGTCATCAATTTATCAGTCAATATATCTATGCATCCATGCTCTGCGATTGCATCCCCAATTGGTTTGCTCAAGGACTTTTGAGTTGCGACTCGAGTACGCTCTCGATATTAATTTGTATTTGTATTCGTAGCTTTAGTTGATTGATTTGCCCAATTGAATTTATTGCCTTATGTAAATAATAGTTATCTTGCCTGTATATACACACTTATCTATCTATGCACACCAACAGCACACAAACACGTTTATTTGTAGCCATTATGTAGATTAGTTTAACATCTTGTTTAGTCACATTGCGAAACGAATAAAATGTCAAAAGCGTTTTGCGGAATGCACATGGACACGAATATATTTTTAACCTAACGAACAGATTGTTGGTCATTCTTGTTTGGCGCATTGTTTTGATTATTATTTCATAATTGTGCGAAAATATAATTTCTAGTTAAGTACTTGGCATGTGAGTAGTTTGCTTGTGGCGAGTGGCGCAGGAGATCAACGCACCACATGTAAAACAATTAGGTTGGCTTGAGTTCGCGCTAATGATGCGGTTGAACAGCAAATTGGTTGGCAACTAAAAACTAATGAAAACGAGCACATGTAAATGAAAAACTAATTGCCCCTCATTTAGCATTCACAAAAGTAGCTTATGACATACGAGTACACACACTTTTCTAATTAGCGCAGATCAAAGTATTTAATTTCGTTACATTTGCATTGAATCGGTCTCGATTCGAATCGATTTCGATTTCTGAATGAGTTGAAGCGATTAAAGTGATTAGTTCAAGTATTTGGAAGATATTTCGCATTAGCCGGGCACCCAATTACCTACTACTACTACTCCCGCCTGACATAGTCCTATATAGTACTACACCTCACTCTATCTCTATATCTATCTCAATCTTTATATTTCTGCCTTTGAAACTGAACTATCTCTGTAGGTAGCGAAACACTGTACTCCAACTCCACTGTCCACTCGCTTTCCAACTGTCTTAATCCTCGACTTGAAGTTGTAAATACCTTGCCCAGTATTTAAAGCAATGTAGTCGCCCCACAAGTAACCGAGTACATCCGAGTTCATCCGCAGCGTTGTCCTTGCGAGTGTCTCCTAACTCCTAACCGTTCCATGTTATCCATCCACCCAGGCGACGTGCTGCTGCCCCTGCTCGTAACATCCAGCCAGCCTTGCACCACCAACTCCACCATCTCGAGCATGGTCCTGGCCATGCCACAGGCGAAACTATGTCCTGATCCTGCGAGCCGTAACACTGCCTGGCCGCCCGAATGTATGCAAAGTAAATTTTATGTAACTAAATCTGTGCAGCAGGTCGAACGACTACGCACACAGGACCAAAACCAGAAACAGACAAAGATACAGATACTGAAACAGGAACAACTGCAGTTGCAACTGCAGCAGATGGGCAGTCATGTCTAAGCTGAGTTCTCTCTACTGTCGAATTTGGCAGTGGGAAAAGGCGGGGTAGTATGGTGGATTTGCTCCACTCCTCTCAAGTATTTTTAATATCCACTACCCCGAGAACATTGCTCCAGTCCCTTGCTCCATTTCACATTTTAATTTGTCGTCCATTTGGCATCCCAATTTACTTTGCTTGTTACGTTGCCACATCCCTGCACTCACATGTCTTTCATCTGATTTCCTTTATTCCCTTTGTGCATTTGTAATTATTTTGGCTTGGCTTTGTTGCCATGCAAATGCCGCAAAAATATCCAGAAATTTCCTTTCATTTGCGGCATTCCTCCTGATTTTCTTTGACGAAACTTGCTAACTCGGATTTAATGCAGCAAAGATAGCTTTCAACTGAATGATTTAGAGATATTAAATCAAAGCTAATTGAAGTATATGAGTTTCCTTCTTTTTTTTTTCCTTGTTGTCTTTTTGCCAGCCATTCGCTTGGCAAATCAAGGCTAGATACATATTAGACAAACGCATCGGAGAGTGCAAGCAAATATTGTTTTTAAAAAGGATAAATGCAGCATAGCCCCAAGACAATGGGCCAAGTCCTGGCATGGGCATGTTTGCTTAGTCTTTGTTTTTTGTTGACATTTCTGTTTATTTCTCTCTGGCTATATGCCGGGTTCTCCTAGACCAACACCCACAACGAATCCATGCCCCTTAGCACCCGCTTATGTATCACTCAATGCAGTGCCAAGTCCTTTTGGGATGAATCGCATAAATTTCGTAGCGCAGTCGACGCACTGGCAAACAAACATATGTACTATGTGCGTAAACATGCCTCAGACAGCAACAAATTTGCAAAATATTCAACTGCCGCTGTTGCTGCTGTTGCTTTAACCCCTTTATTTCCATGCCCACTCTATGTTTGCTGTGCGAGCTCATGCAGACTTTGTTTTAACTTTGAATTGCATAAATTTTAATTATTTCGAAAGCACTAAATTAAAACACAAAAATAAGCACAAAGGCACACAAACACCAGTGAGTTTCGCCTGGGCCTGACGTGCCGACATGCCGGGAAATGCAAATATTATTTAATGGGCAGATGTGTCGTATACGTGATATTATTGCTAACACTCTATCTCTGTTCCTCTTGGCACCCGATGCGGGGGTTCAAATGTCGCAAATTAGCTAAATTTGATTTTGTCAGCGATTTAATTTTATATTTTCATTACATTCAGCCTGTCCTTCCGCTCGTTAATATTATTTTATCTTTGTTTTTTTTTAACTACCCCACAGGCAGTGTATTTAATTTATGTACGCTGAGGGGTTGTTCGGCTGACATGACACGACACACTCACGCACTCCAGCAGCATATTTGTAATTCCCGCTCCAGTGCTGCCCTTTCACCCGGCAGAACGTAAACCAAGTCAACTGGCTTACAAGACACTAACAAGTAGGAGCGGTCCAGAAATGTTGTAGTTGTTGCTCCAAGACGCCAACAAAAAACACACAGTTTGGGAACTGTCTTGACTGGGATTACACTGAGCTGGAAAGCGGCTTAAACGACTCCATCGAATTCTGATTTTGTGGCAAAAACTATTAAACCCAATCGAGATTTTCATAAAAAAAAGAAGCAGGAAAAGAGTTTAGAAGTCTTTTTCCAAACATACAGATTGAACTACAATCTTGAGCTTTAATTAATCTTTTCTTTATATTATATATAATCCTTCCTCTATACTAGTTTTTTTACAAATAATATATTATTGAAAAATAGTTATGAACTTTTTCAACAGTCTCAAGCTAGAGTAGAAAATTTCCCCTGGCTGCTGCCTAGGAATTCATGGTCCCCACACTAACATAGCGATGCCAAATTGAAATAAAAAGGTCCTGGAAAGAGCAAAACGCTTCCAGCGCCGTAACTCAAGGCAAACAAGTGAGCCACTGTACGAGTTTACATAGCTGTACATATACGAGTATACGCACACACTCACGGCCAGGAAAAGACACCCATTCGCATCTTTACATCTCGGCAGTTGCTGTCATTAGCCAGCATTTTTAATTGCATATGCCAGTCTCGCGTGCTTCACCGTACAGGTGGCACTGGGAACGGGGACATTGGGGCATCAAGGGACTGAGCCAACGAAGGGCATATCCCCTAGAGCAGTCAAATTCGTTTGACTTTTTGTGCCCCACAGTCATCTGCGTATGGCGGTGGTGGTGGCAATGATGTTGCGATGGGATGAGTTGGAACTGTGCTTTTTGTGCACATTTGTTTCATTTCATGCTGCTCCATTCATTTTGCCCGGCATCTCTTTTTGTCTTATTGTTGCTGTTTGTCTTGCTGTTTGTGTGCGAGTCAAGAGTCGCGAGCGTCTGAGCCACGTTTGTGTGGCCTTCGTCCTTGCTAGCCGGGCTTTTTGTGTGAGTATTTGGATTGTAAGTAATGCGAGTGGGTTGTAGATTGTACGTTGTTGCCTGTTGGTTGTAGGTTGTAGGTTGTAGGTTCCATGTGCACTCCAGCGGCACTCGTCTAATTAGACAAAGTTGAGACCCAGCCACATAGCAGCCACTCGAAATGAGCACACGGCGCCATTTGCTGTGGCTATATACCACATGGTGGCATTATCTTAAGGACTCCTTAAAGCACATGTGTGTGTATCATCAGGCTTCGAGCTCTCACTTTGATGTCTCTGTCATGCCACAAAAAATGCCGCAGAATTTGCTTGAGCAACATTGTTTATGCGGCAGCAGAGGCATTACACAGGAAGAAATATCTTTTGAGGAATTACCAAGCCATGGGTTGCGACGGTAGCTTCTTCTTTAAGAGGATTGAAAAGCGACTGAAGTTTGAAGTATTAGCGTTAATGAATTCATTCGAAATGCAGAAATTCTGTGAAACTAAGAAAAGACAAATGATCGGGGAAATTCTGTCATTATGTTATTCTTAAAGCTACCAAAAGGTATAGGTGTTAAATTAAATATGGATTTATACTTTTTTGAATATAAAAATCCACAAAAATTATTCACTTAAAATTGTATTTGATATTTAATTAGCAAAATTGTATTTGATATTTAATTAGCAAACAGACCTAAATCCATTACTCTCAAGAAGATAAGTGCTTCTATACCGAAAGGGAAAAATAAAACCAAATGTTTTTCACAAAACTAGACCTCTATCAATATTTCTTTTAGTGCACACACGCACACGCTCTCCAGAAGCCTCAATGTCAACGCTGTTCATTCATTTGTCGCCGCACTTCCGTTTCCGTCCCGCTTTGTCCCCTCACACCGCCCAACCCCCTTTGGCACCATTCCCTTTAGAGGTTTTTTCCGCTTTTTGTTGGGCCATCCAGGCTGGCAACATTTTTGCGACTTTTGACATTTTTTAATGCTGTCAGGCATGGCGTGAAAGTAAACGTGAAAGGCCACAACCTACCGAACACTCATACACCCAAAGACACACACACGCATACATAGACACACTAGAGAGAGTTGCCTTAGTTTGTGCGTCTTTATGGCTCAAAGACGCCACACAAATGTGACATAAAAGGCGATAATAATAAAATATCACAGGGTGCCCGGGCCGAGCCACGTCAAATAAGAAACTGCAAAATCGTAAACAACAAGCGCTAGATGGCGCTCAAGATTCACTTGGGTCCCCAGCTACACAATAAGTCGGACCACAATAAAAGCCCAGGCGACTCGACTCCACTCGCACATAAATTCCCTTGAAAAGTGCCATAAAAATTAAGAAATTGTTGAATTATTTTACGTTTACGAGCGGAAAGGAAAAAGTGGAGGGAGAGCAAAGTGAATATTAATATTGAAATGTTCCAGCGTTAAATGTTGTTGATGCTTGGTGTCGATGTTTCTGTTTCAGTTTCTGTTTTTGTGCTCATTGTTGTGCTGTTTTATTAGATGCTATTTATTTTGTTATCAGCGCACAGTTGGTCACGCTTTCGCTACTTATTTGCTAATGGTTCTCCATGATTTTTTTTTTCTGCTTTTGCTTTCTGCTGCTCAAATAATAATTTGCAACTCTGTTATGATGTCATTTTGCAAGTGTTGTGAATCTCAAAAGCAATAGCAACAAACCAAACAAGCCAAACTAATCGGTATAAACATTTTGCCTTTTGTTTCTCTATTCCTGGACACACTCACTCATACACACACACACACTCATTACTCACACTCACATGAATTTATGTCTCACCCACACATTTGCCCATCCTCAAAACACATATGCCATTGTTGTTGATTTTGTTTTATACCAACCAACCAAAGTGTATATTGCAGACCCGGATCTGATATTGCCGCGCGGCGAATTGGAATTTACGACCCTGGATCCAACGCTGAAGTAATTGTAAAAAGTAATAATAAATATCTACCATAGTCAGCCACACACACACATACAAGCACACACACACACACACAAAGGCCTCATAATTCACGGGCATTTCATTTAACATAGCTGTAAATTTTTAGCATAAATTTAAATGCATTAGCGTAAAAAGGTAACTCGTATTGCGTAATGTTTAAGCGGAAAGAGATAAAGTTAAGCCATTTTGTAATTGTCAGAGCCATTAAGTGTCATACGAACTGCAAATTGCGAATGCAAAATCAAAATGTTAAGAACCCAAAAGCTGCGCTATAAATACGCTACAAACTTGTAACTGAAATCAAAATATAAAACTTGTAAATAAAACAAATACAAAACAAAACACAAACTACAATACACTACACTACATAGACACTCATTTTGCTGTTGCACCATCCACTGTACATAGAGAACGGGCAAACATTAATCAAACTGCATTTAAATGTTAAATATTAATTGTAATTAATGAACAACTAGCCCGTAAGCCAGCGTAGTTAAGTAAGCTGTGTGTATTGAAAGTGTAATTAGACTCATAGAGCCAACTAAGAGTTATTGGCCAACAGATACGAGTGCTGTACAAGGTATCTATCTATCTGCCGCCTCGGATGTGTGCAACTATCTGGGCGTTGAGCCAATCGAAGAGCCGTTCATCAAATAATGTCTGCATAGCGATATAGGATTCATTAGCATTAGTTAAGGCCCCAACCAGTTGCTGTCCGGCAAAATTAAAATGTTTCAAACTCGAGCTCTTAAACTTTCCTGGGATCCAGGCCCACACTTTTCCGATCTGAACTGACATTTTTCGTCGCTATTTATGGCAATTCCATGAATATTCTATTACCACAATAAGCCGAACCGTACAGAAACGTAACGGCAAAGATGAATAACAACCGAAAAACAAACAACAGCCAACAGCCAAGTGGGCGATGTTCGAGTGCATAATGAATAAATGTCGAGTGAACAGCCAATTCCCAGAGTCCTTAACAATTCCACTCACACAGGACCTCTAGACGCAAACTACAACGCAAACAATAAATGCGAGTTCAGTGTAAATGTTATAAATAACTAAAGTAACCGAGCAAAAGTACGACATAAAAATAATAATAATAATAATAATAATACGCCATACAGTTTACACAATACTCCAATGTAATTCGAATTCTAATTTCAAATATACAAACATAAAGTGAAATGGCAGACTAGCAAAATATACTGTGCGTATGCGTAATAAAATAAATTGATATATATATATATATATAAATATATATAGATACATATAAATGGAAACACCGGGGGCAAGCCATCCGTTTGCCCCCGCATGTCGTTCTCTGTCTCTGTCACTCTGGACAAAACCAAACTGATTGTTTTTAAGCAAAGTTAGATTTATAAATAAATTAAATTTAAAAACGAATGAGAAAACGCAAACTTAAAAGTGAAATACATTAAAAACTAAGTCGAAACTACTGAGTGTGTTAATAATAATAATAATAATAATACCGAATACTGAATAAATAAACAAGATTCAAACCAAAAGCGAGAAGCCTTTTCAAATCAATTCCAATTAAGCCGCCGATTTGGACATCAAAGCGAAGATTAATGCCGCGACTTGGTCCGTTCGGATCCTGTTTGCCCAACTTTGGCCAGGGGTTAAGTGTTATTAATGCGGAGCAAATCCTGCGGCGCTGCAGACGGGGATGCAGCCTGATTGCCACTTGAGGCGCGTAATCGAAACATCGGCAAGGCGGTCGGTCAATGGAGACCGCCTTCATTACTTTACACAAGCCAAGGAGGTCCTTTGCCGCCTCCACATCCATCTCCTGCTCCTTTTACTCTCCGCATTTCCATTGCCTTTGCCCCAAAGCCAAACACGAGCTGCCCGCCCCAAAAGCCGTGGATTCGAATTAAGGCTGTAAAGCTTGGGGGGTGCGGGAGGATTGGATTGAAGGATTTGGAGGAGGCATTGGGACGGCCTTGGCATGCACAGGAGATTAAAACAGTTGGAGGGAAATTTGCAACGCCAACTCCCAAGAAGGTAAAGTTTAGCTGGGGAAACTTTCAGCAAATGCAAGTCTGTTTGTCGTAATTTGTTGCATACTTTTTAGAACACCAACTTGGATGCCGGGCAATTCAAACTGAGTGGGGATATCGATTGGTAATGAAGCGCCCACCTTAATTTACTTCAAATGTTATATTTATTCATTAGCTTTCGGTAATCGACTGCTTAAGTCTAAGTTACTGTTTCAATGATTAACTAAACTTTATAGGTCATCCCTTGTTTTCAGAATATCTTTTAAAATGAAAAGTTTTACGAATGCCCTGTTCTTCGTAATTGGTTGCACAGTTTTTAGAGCTCCAACTTGGCTTGCAGACCATTCAAACCGAATTTGGTAAATCGATTGGTAATGGAACACCCGCAGGAGCTTACCTTACAGATGCCAAGACATGCTCAAGCCAGAGCTTAATTTCAGAATGCTGCTTGGAATCTGCATTGTGGTCTCGCATTTTCAGTCCCCGCGCTGAAGTATTCCCCCGTAATTTGGGTTGGCACGTGCGGATTTACTTTTCACTCTACTTTCCAACTTACCTTCGCCATTTGCTTTTGTTGTCAATTTTATGGCGTTTTCATTTGCTGGCAAGCGCTTTCGTTGCAGCTTCCCTGGCAATTGCCAGGAATTTTAAGTTCCACAACCCCCCGGCCATCCGCCCACCTTTTCATCCGGCCCAAACGCACTTTGCAGCACTCGGACTAAAAATAAAGCCACATAAATCCGAAGATTTGCTGGCAAGTGCGCAAATCGAAATGAAATCCAGGGTCAGTTGCCCCACTTCCTGTGATTCAGCTGGAGTGCCTGTCGCTCCTTCTTCCCTCCTCTGACAGAGCAGAGTGACTCCTTGGCCACAGCGTGCTTAAATAAATTAAACGACTCCTCTGAACGGCGGGGAGTTTGACCATTCAAAATATCCTGTCACCGCTCACGGAGGCATACTTAGTCCGAACAGGGCTGTTGAAATAATAAAGGCCCCAAACAGCGTTTCCTCTCCAGCCATAATTCGGTCAAAATGGGGATTTTTTCAAGGGTCAGAGTGAAAAGTCTGCCTCTGACATTCTGGCTAATATCGATTATTATTATTCAGAGGATAAATTAAAAGTTTCTGAACAAAGTAAATAGATTTTATGTTCTTTTATCATTTTCAGTTTAAATAAAGAAAGATTTTCAGTTTTAATTAAACGAAGTCGTGCATTTCCATGGCTTTTACAAGAAGTTTAAAGAATACGCTTCTGTGATAGTAATTATATTTATAAGTACCAATGTAGTAATACTATGGTTTTTACACATTTTAAAGATCACATCTAGTTACTTCTCCTGTTTTTCCCAAGACTGCCTCTGACCTCGGACCAACGAAAAATGGACAACCCCTTCGCAGGAGGCGACAGCAAAGGCCAGTTTGGAATTCAATTAGCAGTCGGATGCCCGAATGGCCAAATGGTTGCCCTGGTGAAACTCATAATGGCTTCGATTGAGACCGGTGATTATTGCGATCGCTGGTTGGGCTGACAGCTGCAGTCGCCGCTGTTGTATGAGCCACTTCTCCGGCTGACATTCATGGCAGCCATAAGAATGCCATCCAGTTTTACAAACCGAAAACCCACGGGGTGGAGGATGCGCGAGGAGGTGGCTGCCAAAATGCGGAGAATGCCGTAAAAATGTTTTCCTTTTTGCCAGCCTGTTCCTTTTGTCAGCAGTCGTCGTTTCGGCAGATGCTGAAATAATGATACCGGCGCCTGCGAAGCGAGCAATCAGCCCGCTTTTCGCATCTATGCCAAGGACATGTGGGTGGTTGTGTGTGGGTTCGGTGCTGTGGGTTTCTGAGTGGGCGTGGCACCATTGTTTTGACTATGGCCACGTGTACTGGCTGTGTCTGTGTGTGTGTTCTCTTTTCGTGTGTGCGAAATGCATGAAACTGGCGCTTCAATTTAGACATTTTCAACGTTTATTTTGCAACAGCTGCCTTAGGTCTACGCGGAACGAGAACTCTTAAAATACGGAATTTATTATGCACTCCTCTCTTATAATTTGATTTAAAGAAATCATTTTACGGCGGATGCTGCTACTGCTGTTGCTGTTGCTGTTGCTGTTGCTATTGCTCCACTGATGCTGCTTCTGCTACTGCTCGCTTATAAAATTTAAAAATCGCGACGCTTTTTGTATGCAATGCAATTATTCTCCATTTACAATGCACTCAGCGCGAAGTAAGCAAACAAACAAACAACGGCTTGAATGGCTTGAATGGGGATGTGGAGGTATGGGTATGGTGTTTGGTATGGAAAGAGGGAAGAGGGAAGAGCGCACAAGCAGACAAGTAAATAAAATTGCAAATAAAGTAAAAATGTTGAAATGCCAAAGAAATGCACGGTACATATTTTACATTTATTCATTCGCTGATTCTGAATCTGCTTTAGCTTCTGCTCCTGCTGTTTCTGCTGCCATTGCTGCTGCTCCTGCTGAACCTTCTCCTTCTCATCCTTTTCCTTGGACAAAAGCGACGATGGGCGGCATGTCCTCACGCCTGTCGCCTAGTCCTGGTAAGCCGAGCGTTAATAACAACGCTTATCTGCGGCATTAGGAGCATGCCAAGCAGCAGTCCCCCAACCAAACAAAACCCAGCGACTGCGACAAAAAATGATAATGAAAAACTGAAATAAAAGCGCAGCAGCAGCGCCAGTAACAGCGCCAACGGACAAACAGACAAACAAACAGACGGCAAAAAAGAATACGAAATACAGGCAAACAACACAGCGCGGAGCTGAACAACCGAACAACCGAGCAACTGAACTGTCCGGGGTTGGAGGACCACATAATTTAAGCTGCCGTTGCTTTAGCAATTGCTGTTGCTCTTGCTGTTACCGCTCCTGTTGTTGTTGCAGTGGCTGCCTGCATCGCTGCTGGCGTGACAACTTCAACTGACAGCCGCAGAGCAGAGCCATCATCCATTATCAGCATTTGGCCATCTTAAAGTGCAGCGAGAACAACAGCGGTGTTAAAAAGAACTGAATCGACTATTTTGTGTTCTGTTTTCAGATTGCTTTTTAAATGAAAAATAAACAAAAATTTGTAATAAATCTTTGAGTTTGTAATATTGTTTCATCATCAGAAATAATAATTTTAGTTGGATTTATTAAGTTTTTAGAGCCTAAGAGATCTTAGACATCAAATAAGGACATGTTTATGTTGCCAGATTAAACACTTTAAAGAAATATTTAAAGGCACATTATTTTTAGCTATTAATACATCCACTAAAACTGAAAACCAAAATTAAATTCTCTTTTTATAACTTTATCCTGTTCAAAAATTAAGAAGCCAAAGAGCATGCATTTTGCCTGGGTTAATAAATTTAATTTTGCCAACCTAATAGGTTAAGTGTATACGTCCGTGATACACCCTACAAAAACCCACATTTTCCGTGGTATTACACCAGCGCCAGGACAGGAAACGAATGGAAAAAAGGCAGCGCGGACAACGGGTGGCCACAACAATTGCAGCAACAACAACAGAGCAGCAGGAGCAGCGACACAAAATGTTGCGATGGCATTGTTTTAATGCATTTGGAGCACCAGCAGCAGCAGAAGCACAAATAGCAGCAACAACAAAAACAGCATATAAAGGAGCCTGAGGATGCGGGCGCAGGATCCCGCGACGATGCCTGATGGCAATGGCCATCCATGGCGTATACGCACCGTACGCCACATTACGTATACGCATATGTAGAATACAGGAGCACTACTTGCCGCCCGCGGAATTGCCGCACTGCTGCTGGTACGCCGATGGCCCCGACGAGTCCTTAACAGTGAACGTCACGTAATATCGTTTATTGCTGTCCAACTTTTCCGCTGGCAGTGAAATTAGCTGTTTGTTCTTTCCATGTGACAATTCCAGTGCCACTTTGTGGTTGCAACGGCTGCCGGTCGCACTGCCAGCCGTACCGCTACCCAGGCCGCCAGCTCTTCCGCTGGAGGCGCGACCGCTGGTCAGGATTTTGGGCAGGAAGAAGCTGCTGACACTGCCGGTCTTTTTATACGGTCCAAAGCCGAACTTTGGCATCGTGTGATGATTCATCATGGGAACTGTAAAATGCAAAGAACCGTTGACACACATTAGATTAATGATACATTAGGGTTGATCATTGCTGCGAACTACAATGAATTGCTATCACCTGACAGGTGTCCTGCAGGTGCAACACTTAACTAAATTGCAAGGGCAAAGGCAGACAAAGAAATGGGAAGGGACCTCGCACCCCGTTTTTGGTTGCCGGATTAAGAGCCATCTCGCGTCGGGATTAAGGGCTACTTTCAGGGAAATAACTCTGCATAAACAAGAACAACGTGCCCTGTTGATGAGAACGGAGCGGCATGAAGAAGTATAAATGAATGCGTTTTTAATTTGGCATAAGCCGGACGCATCCTTTTGAGCTGGATGCCAGGATGCCAGCTCTTCAGCTTCAGATACAGCAGTGAAGATGTAATAAAAGTTGAAAGCCAGAAAGCCGGGTCGAGAATATTTTTAATTTGCCCCGCACTGAATAAACTGCTCGTAATTAGGATTTATACATTTTTATGCCCTGAAGCTCCCAAGCAGATGCTTTGAATTCGAGTGTCCGCTCGTCCCACGCTTGACCCACTGCCGGCGAAAGTGTTGCCAACCCGTTGGCGAGGCGATTTGATCCTTTGGCCCGGCAAAAGCCTGTCTGGTGCCATTTTTCACGCTTGCATAGAGCCGCTTAAAGCCCTCGAGCAATCGTAGCATCAGCAGAAAGGCACGTCACAAAAAAAAAAATTTTGCAACAAAAGTAATTTGGAAAAAGTAAATATTATTTTTTTAGATGTCTAACTAGGATTTTTACTCCCTTTTTCCCTTTCCTCCGCTTCTTATGTCTTGCCAAACTTTTAACGTTTTTGACTATAAATTGTTTTCAGTGTGTTTGTCAAATAGATTACTTACTGTAGGCAGCGCAGGGTATTCCCGTGTAGGCATGGGCCGCATGAAGGCAGCGGTGCGTCTTGGTGGTGCACTGCAGCGCCTTTTCGTAGGCATTGTAATCCGGACTCAGACGCCGCTCAGCCTGAAAATGGAATAAAAATGGGATGAGCCAGTTGGTGGCGGCACTTAATCATCACCCACCTCCTCGTACACCTCGTTGATGTTCTGAAAGTTGTTGGTGCCCGGACGCTGGAGTCCCTTAAGCGTTTCGTAGAGGAAGAGTTCGAAGTTCTTGAACGTGTACTCGCTGAAGTTGTAACGCCGAAGTCGTGTACCCGTTTCGCCGCCCAAAAGGACACAGGACTTGTGATAGTCTTCCACCGCGCGCTTTACCAGCACTGCCTCGTTTAATTTACTGGAGCGAATCTGCAGTGACTTGAGCTCCAGAAGATGCTGGAAGATCTTGCGCTCCATGTAATATCTGCGGATGAAGAAGATTGGAAACCATAAACATAGCTCAGAAAAAAGCGCAGCCTGAGCTCTTTGTGCCCGCTCCCCATTGTCCCCATCATCTCCAGAATGAGAATCAGAATCAGAATAAGAACAAGAATCAGTTTGCCTGGGCCTTGCAAAAATAAATGTTAGCAAATGTACGTAAATTGTCATTTTGATATTTCGCGAGTCAAACAGAAGGCAGTGCCGCCTGCTGGGCGGCTGACAAAGGACCTTCTACTCTCCGGCAGGAGCGCAATAAAAGGCATCATGTTATTAAAATTTCAAAAATACTAAAGTGCGTACGCGGAAAAAATTCTATTAATAATTGAGAATTGAGGGCGGCGGAAAGAAAGGAGCGAGCATAAACGAAGCGAGCCAAATAAAAGCCGCCAACGGCACCCTCTAAGCCATAAAATGTTATTAGAAATTTTATTAAAAATTAGGCAAACAGGCAAATTTCAGCGCTTTAAGGGTAAGATTAAGGATAAGGCTAAGGGTATGCATTTTGGGTGGCCCTCAAAAGTTGCTCCCTTAACTCGGCTGCGGGCCAGCGACTCTTCTAAATCAACGAATGACGTCCAAGCCTTTTGCTTTCTGCTTCTTTGCCAGAGAAGCGAAGCGGCGCATTCACCGAAAAAACTAAGCAAATTTGTCGAGGGCACTTGGAGTGCAAAAAAGCTGGCTGGAGCGGCGTTTTCGAAAATTGTTTACCCAGAGCCAGCTGTGAGGAGACCGCTTGACACTGCTCGCCACTTGGCTGCGCAGCGCGAAATTATGCAAAACAATTTGACTTTGAAACAAAAGTTCATTGCTCGTGGGATGGATGGATGGATGGATGGAATGGGATGATGGCAGGGGAAAGGGGATCACGTCGAAAGAGGCAGGTAATAAATAGGTAAGAATCCTTGTGAGCCAAAAGCTGCGTAATAAATTGGCCGAGGGCCCGAAGAAATCCCGCAGCGCGACTTCAAAGCGGGCCATCGTTCATCCGCTTGTTTTGCTGCCCCACCAGTGGTCATCTTCTTCATCACCATCGTCTTTATCATCATCATCATGGTTCTTCTTATCGTGGCCATCTTGCCAACCATCCCCCATTGCCATCGTCATCGTCATCACTTGTTTGCCGAAGCGCTTTTCAATTTTACGCCTCGCTTTTGGCTCCATTCGGTTGCGCTTGAGTTCTTTGCAAGTCTTTCGCTTTGTGCAAATACTTTTTGCAATACTGTCCTTGGCATATTTTTTTTCACCATCGTCGCTGTCCCATTCTTTACCCCCAACCTCCTTGTCCTACTGCTGCTGCTGCTGCTACTGATTTCCGTTTCCGCTCTACGTTCGCCTAGTACAACTTTCATTTCATTTTCTTGTGCGCGTTGATTTTGTGTGGCACATTTTTCCACTGCCAACGCTTGCAGCAACCAACTGTCCCACCGGCCGTGCGACCCACTGACTGACAGCCCACCCAACCATTCCACCCATCTCTTCCTGTTTGCGACACAAATGTGACAGGCAAAAAGTGCACGCAGCGCCAAAGTGGATGAAGTGGAAAACCCGCCGGCGGCAAAGTCAGCACCAGCACCATCAGTAGGCGCAGCTCTCACTTTTCCCAAGCGCTGACAACGACAACAAAATGCAAAGAAATTAAGCGCTGCACAAGTTGCAACAACGAATCCCGCCCGCCGGCAATTTGTGCCGCACAAGCAACAAAAGCTCTAAGAGAACCTTTTGCCAAGTGTTAATGGCTGGCCCAGGAACACCCCGAGAATCCTGTCCTGCCCAGCTCTGAACGACGTGGCCTGCATACCTGCATATCCAGTTTACAAGTTTACCAGTAGACCACTAGACTACAGTGCCTTGAAAATCGATGGCCGCCAAAAGTGTTGACAAAGTCGCACCCCGGAATTCGCGAAAAGTCTGCGGCTACCGAAAACTTTGCCGCTTCATTTTTCATTACGGCTATATTTCTGAGCCCGTGCTTCAAACTTGGCCAAGTGGCAAGCTGACTGGCTGGATTTCAAGGGAAAACTGAGAAAACCAAGACCTCAAGATGGTTGGTTCAGGCTTAAACTAATCGCTCAAAGTTAAATGAATTTTCCTATGTATATAACTACTATCAGAATCAACATTTTAAAGTCGGTCAACAAATATGCCTAATTCCGTCACGCTCCACAAAAATCAGGCCCAAGGACAACAGATAAATTTTGGGGTCGAGTCGGGACGAAAAACGAAATCCAAATATTTAACAACGTCAATTACGTGAGCGCACATTATAAATCCCAAATCTCACCTGTGCTGCTGTTACTGCTTCTCCTACTGGGACACACACACACACAAAATTCGCACACAACGCCCCGGTAAGTTATTTGTTTAATTTATGCGTCAGATAAAATTTTAATCTCTTCGGAGCCAAAACGAGGAAACAAAATAAAGTTGCCCGGGTCCGTGTGAAAGCATGCGAATGCAAAAATAAAATGAAAATGAAAAATACGAAATAAAATAAAGTCTCTATTTACACACTTTTCATGGTATTTTCCTGGTCGACACCCCCACGAATGGCCAACACTCCGCAAAGTGTATTCGACTGGGAGCTATGGATTCACTTTTTACTTTTTTTCTTTTACTTTTTTATACTTTTCCTCTCGAATGCCGAGTAAATTCTATTTGGATTTTCGCCACCCACACCAACGGCGACGATGCCCAACCGTATATTCTTCGGGAATTAATTGACTCACCCCGACGACTTGTTGAGGAACTTGTTCGGAAAGTTGCTGAGCAAGACACTTGTTTGACTTTCGGTTTTGCGTACATTGCGTATACGCCGCGTATTTGTCGAAACCTTAACATGGCGCAATCTTGCCTCTGGTTTAACTTCTCCTACTGATTTTCTGCCGCTACTCCAGCTTGGGCTTATGCAAACAGCCGAGTTAAATATTTTCATTAGTCAAGTGGAAAGAATTATTTATGAAATGCGCTCGCCGGCCGGATTCCGCTTCTGTTTTCGTTCCGTTATTGTTTTGTTTTGTTTTACTTTCTCGGTGAATGTTTGCAAATTTATTCATGGGCTACAAGGCAGATTAGCAAAATTAATAAAAGTCAGCTTACGCTTTTTAATTAAGTTTTGCGGGCCCGGCTTATGCAAATACCATAAATAAATACAATTGACTTTTAAGTTTGAGCAACAGCTTACGGCATCGATCCGCTACACCGGGCGGATACAAATGACAAAATTAAATTAGCCCCATACACAAGTTTCATTTATTGCTAGTATGAGTTTATGGCCAAAGAACTCATAAGGAAATCCCATAGAGCACGAAAGGATTACCGGAACAAGTCGGCAAACGAAGAGCGAACACAGAACACAGAGAAATGGTAATCGTCCTTGCTGTCTCTGCTCTACGCCTTCAAGGACCTCTAAAAATGCTCTCGCTAATCTGCACTAATTCCATTTACAATTAGCATTAGCGAGTTGTAAAAGGAGCCAAAGACTTTGCTTCACAGCCAAAGTACGACTGCCTGCTTGCGGCTAATTTTCATATTTTGTTCAAGTTTCTGCATAAACAAAACATCCCACCGCAGGTGGGCATCCTTTTGGCCCCCATTTTCACCCTTTCACCACTTTCGCCCCGGACTGGTTCTGATTCTGTGCAGCTAATTAAAATGCGCAACTCTTTGCCGGAAATGAGCATTTCGGCTAATGACAAGAGAGGTTTGGCAGCGGACGAGATTTGGGGGCATTCGAGGGCACTGGAATAAATCAGCCAGGATATTAGGGCCGTGTTGGACTTGACCTAATTATGATTTACGTTTCACTTTTTCTTTCTTTCCTTGAGGTCATTAAGATCAAAAATAAGGAGTAGAAATATAACTGAATTAAGAACTTGTCACCAATAAATGTGTCACAGACATAACTCTCCACCTGTTATGAGCACAGTTAATCCTTGAGGCTTAATAACTACGGACAGCAGTTGAAAGTTCATGCTTAAGTACACGGAAAATGAACATTAATGCCGCGTTTATTGCCTTTAACCGCATTATAATAACTTTAAAGCGCTCCGTTTTATGGCGAACGGAAGCCTGGCAATTTATTTGCTGACCAGCGCAACAATGGAGAGCCTGGCCTCCCGAAAAAAAAGAAGAAAGCCCAAGAAAAGAAATGAGAAATGCTGGCTGGGCTATTAAATCCCTGGCTAAATTAACTTTAAGGCGGCAGCGGCAACGGCAGCGGCTTCGTCCAGTTTGATTACATTAAGAGGACGCCGCAGCCGCAACGGCAGAGCTGAAGTGCGCGCGTGATATAATGCGAGTCCAGGCAGTGGGACATTCAAGTTGATTAAAATCAAGCATCAAGTAAATAAATCTACGGCCAAAAAGGCAGCGTAGTCGGCGCCACTAACTGCCTGGAGATTAATTTAAATGAATGAATCTCGCCATCAACTCTCCGGGGCTCGAACTCTCCGCAATCACAGCCAATCTGTCCAGCTTCCTCGTGCACAGGGGAAAAATCGGATAATTTATAAGTTTGTATTTTAACGCCTCTCATTTGCATACATCGATTATTTCAATATTTCTCACGAAAAATCTTTCAGAAGTCCATTAAATTTTTAAATTCAAAAGAGGGACACTTTTTGAATGCTGCAAATGGCTAATGGAAGTGACACAAAAGCTTCTAGCTTAGATTACTAAAAGTAATTTAATCTCTCTTTCTAATAATAAATTTATACTTTAAGACACCTTTTGAGTGACTTCAAAACCCTTGTGATTTCTATTTTGAAATGTTTTCATTCAGGCTACTCACCTCCGGATATTGCGCTGTATCGACCGAGTGACCGCGCCCATGTCACAAGCTCCTTTATCGCCGGGCTTGCGGTTTTCCATCCGACTGCTACAAGAGCGTCCATCCAAAGTAGCGTAGATGGGTCGTCGTGGCATATGGGCTGTATGGGCGGACCGAAGTGTAGGTATCTTGCTACGCTCTGCCCGAGGACTGGGCTCGAAGCCCGAGTCCTGATCCTTGCTGGTGGCCAAGGCAGCCATGTTGCCGCCATCACGTGAATCCTGAGAGTTTTTCCAATTGCTACGGGTTTTGTTGCCACTGCGAACGCGTTTTTTGAGACGACGCTTTCTGCCATTGCCCATGCCCTCAGAAGTGTCATCTGCAATGGATCCTCCAGCTCCTCCTCCTGCTCCCAATCCATTTGCTCCAGGTCCTGAACTGCCTACTCCATGTCGATTTCCACTGCTGAGAAATCGACGTAAGGCACTATCATGCTCCGGATCAATACCATTCCTGTCATCATCTTCGTAGTCGTCATCGTACTCTTCATATTCATACTCCATCTTCTCCAGCTCCGAGGCACTTGGCAGCTGGACCGCAGAACCTCCTTCATTCACCACCTGAAAGACTTGATTACCCGGCTCGTAGTCAACCTTACGTCCAGGTCTTTTTGAGTTTTCATCCAGGGAGTCGTCGCTTTTCAGCACTTGGAAGCTCGATTTCCGCTCAGTAGCAGGCTCATCGGAAGCTGAAGCTGGAGGATTTGAATTTGGATTCGGAACTGGGTCATCGTCCGCCGAGTCGGAGGCCAGAAGTGTGAACGAACGCCTTGTCTCCTGTTCCCTTTGCGGTGGCTCCTGTTGGGGAGTGGGCGTTTGGGCCGTTGATGGGCGTGGCTGTGGTGTGGTTGGCGGTTTTTTGGGCTCAGCAGGAGGAGGAGCGGTGGGCGGTGGAGTGGGCAAAGAATTGGTATTGGGTTTCGGCTTGGCTTCAGCCTGCTCCATCGGCTCAACTTTTTTGCCAACAGATTCTGGCTCTGAAGCCGCAGACTCAACCCCTTCGACCGTGTTGGCATTTTGCTGTGGTTTTTCTGCGGTGCTCGGTGGCTTAGCGGTCTCCTCTTTAGGTGGTGCTGGTGGCACCGCTGGCTCAGGAAGTGGCGCTGAAGGGGGTTTCAGGTTTTGGGGATTCCTTAACATCCTCTTCAGGTTTTTTCACAGCTTCTTCACTCTTTTCGGGCATCTCTTTTTCCACCGGCTTTTCCTCACTGGAACTTTTGGACTCGCTACTTAATGCAGTGGCTGCTATTTTGATCACCTGTTCTACTTCCTTGGATACCAACTGGGTTTCCTCTTCGCTTAGCTGCAACTTGGCTTCCCGTTCCCGTTCCTTCTCATGCTCCTTTTCCTTTTCATTTTCCTCTGTAAGTGGTAATTCCTCAGATGATTTTGAATTCTGGTTTTCCTCAGCATCATGATGGACATCAACCTTTGTCACCACTGACTTGGCTGCCTCCTGTTCCTCATCTGTTAGCTCCACTGCATGAGATTCCTCCACTAGAAGATTGTCCATTTGGCCGGTTTTTTCACTCTTGGCGCTTTGGGTTGGTGACTTGATGAAGGTGCCCTCTTTTGTGGGCGTTTGGTGCCTGGAAGCGGAAGGAGGCCGTTCCTTCGAAACTATCTGATCCTTGGAGTTATTCGTCGGATGTTCCCCATTCACAGTTAATGGCTTCCTGGAACTCTTTTCCGGCGAGGACTGCGCCGTATGATTTCCCTCCTCCTGCTCGCTCTCTTCTCGGTTTTTTGACTTCCTTGATGACGTGGACCGCTTCCGGGAAACCACACGATCCTTTTGTCTTTTGTGATAACAACAGTTCTCGCAGGAGTCCTCATCGTCCTCCTCCTCCTCCCACTCACTGGAACTGGCGTACCGCTCGCGGGATTTCCGCCTTCTGATTTCAATATTACTCTTGGAGCGGCAGATTTCGCTGCATCGTTCGTGTTTGGACTCACCACAACTGCTGGTTCGCCTCCTAAGTTGCCTTCTCTTGTGTCGCCGGCAAACGTGTCTCATCCGCTGCTCCTTTCTATAAGTCTGCTCCGAGCAGCTGCAGTCCCCATCAGGATCGTCCTTCCCATTCTCGTTTCCATTCCCGTTATCAGAATCGGAACGTTTAAGGTACACTACATATTTTTTTGAGCTGCGTAGGTCATGCAGTTCCTCCTTCTCCACATACTTCAAAGGTCTCACCATATCCGTGGCATTGGTTTCATGGAAGGGGTTTCCAGCCCGCCTGCTTGACAATTTCACCTTGTTGGCCGGCTGACCGCCGTTTGCCTGTAGAAACTTGGCCGTAGAGCGGTGACCACGCTGCAAAGCCCCATCCAGAGGGGTTAAAACCAATCCTCTTGAATTCCGATACACGGCATTCACATCTGCTCCGTAATCCAGCAGCAACTTACACATATCGGTATAATCATTGGCCGCCGCAATATGCAACAGGCTGCGTCCATCATTACTAGTGGTGTTCACCTGTTTGGGCCTTTGATTGAGGAGCCACTCCAAGAGCTCTCTTCTCCCAGAAGCTGCGGCCTCGTGGAGAGGCAGATCACCCTTGGCGTTGCGTAGCCACAGATTGGCACCGCGTTCCTTTAGCAACTTTAAGGTCTCAAATTGGCCCTTGGAACATCCGCAGTGAGCTGGCGTGCGTCCTTTGCGATCCTGACGATTTGGATCTGCCTCCAAATCCAACAATCTAGCTGTGGCATCTGCATGACCCAAGGTAACGGCGTAATGTAGAGCGGTGCAGCCATTGGAGTCGATAAGATCCGTGGGAGCACCGCAAAGACCAATCAGGGTGTCAATGCATTCTGTGTGTCCCCTGGAACCAGCACAATGCAAGGCAGTGAGGCCATCTCTGGAAGGAGAATTATATATATATATAGGATATGGTAAAGAAGGATATGTTGTTTAACCCACTTATCGGAAGACTCCACCCTGGCACCAGCCTTAACCAGGGCTATCACTGCCTTGGCCGAACCCGCTGAAGCTGCCCATAGAAGCGGCTGACGGCCATCCTTGTCCTGCACATCAACACTGCTCTGGGGATGGGACAAGAGGATGCCCAGGATCTCCAATGAGAGCCTCGAACTGTTGCTAGAACTCGCCTGCTGCTTGCTATCATGGCTGGCCCCGCACATCTGAGCAGCATAGTGCAACGGAGTACCGCCATTGGCGTCCGGCTTGGCCACACTAGCTCCTGCGGCCAGGACAGCTCGCAAGGACTCCACCTCACCGCATACTGAGAATTACGAGGGTAATTAGCATTAATACTAAACTTTTGATAATTTGTTTATATAAAAATTAAAGCTTTATTTATTACTAAATGAATTCCTTTGTCATTAAGTGAAAAAAATAAATCATATTTGGTAGTCATCACACTTTTTAATTAATTGCAATTTTTCTAGTCAACATATGAATAAGCTTAATAGATTTAATGGATTGGAAAATGCTTGCGGTCAAAAATAAATAGTTTTGCATTATTGGTGAATGTAATTAATGCAGTTGTATGTTTAGTTAGTACAAGGTAAATATTTCCCTAGCTAAGTGTGAGCTTTCCGTTAAACAAATTATTGTTTAAACAAAAATAGTTTGCTTTTAGGCTGCCAGTAAAAAAGAGTTATTAAATCAATAGGTTGTACAGAAACTAGGATGACAGTGGAACCTCTATAGATACAACTTCTTCCACTCGAAAAGTATATTGTATAAAAATTATAGAAGCTCCACTGTATTGCTTATCAACCCTGCACTCACCCGTGGCCCAGTGCACCACCGAATGGCCCTCATTGTCCACCGCATTCACATCCGCCTTGTTGGCCAGCAGCAGGTTGACCATGGCCAGGTTGCCCTGGATGACGGCCAAATGGAGCGGGGTGAAGCCATCCTCATCCGCCGACTCCAGCAGCTCGGGGGCTGCGATCGCAATGCTGGCGGCCGCCACGAGGTCCTTGCTCTGGTCCGCGTCCTGCGCGGCACAGTAGTGTAACGCGTTGCGATGGCTTCGGTCCCGCTGCCGCAGCAATTGGGGCTGGGGTAAGATAAAAAAAGATGAATGGAAAATCCAATAGTTCGTTAGTTGAGGGGTCAAAAATTAATTACTTCGCCCGCCGGAAAATTATGGCCAGGCGATTGCACCTGCTGAGTTGAGGCCGCAGCCGATTAATAAACTAATTAAAATGCCATTTGCATATTGCATCAATTTGCATCACGGCGACATACCCTCCCACTGCCGCCGGGCAGCGTTTGATGGATCGCGTAATTTTCACAGTCTCCGGCTTAATTGCCAGCAAATATTTTGGTGAAATAAGTGTGTATGTGTGTGTATTGAGTGTTGTGCTGTTTATTTAACCGGGCAAGTTGTTGTTGGCGGTTGGTTGGTTGGTTGGTATGGTTGGTTGGTTGTCAGCCGGTCTTTTGTGCATGTGTCGAGTGGCTGACTGGTGAATTGGCGGGACGAAAGCAATTACTTTTTCCAAACGCATCACACCTCCGGCTGGACATTAAATGCGGCTGGACAACAACACAAAAGCAGAAATGCAAAACACGCCAACCGGCCAATTAATAATTTAACATCTTTTTGCGTTAATCATGCAGAAAGAACGACAACAACCGTGGAAAAAATCGCCTTCTGCGGACCGCTGTTGGTCAGTAACTAAAGCAACACCAGCAAAGGTAAACAAACGGCAAGCGACGCCTGGAAAGTGCAAGTACAAGAGGGAGGTCCTGCCAAAAGGGTTGGAACAGTTGGTAACCGTCGTCCTGGGCAACGTGGTGAGTTGCCAAGGCAGGTGTGGTGGCTCACCAGATTATCGTTAGCATTTTTGGCGCGCAAAACAATATCAAACTCCAGCGGCGAGGCGAACATGCTAACTCCTCCAGCCAGGACACTTCAGCTCTCCTCAGCCCTTCTTGCCCAAAATGGTTTTGGAAGGAGCGTCGAGCGTGGAGCGTGTCAAAACATGTCAAGTGCACAAAAAATACTGTCGCCGCCGCCGAAAAGTATGCTAAAACTTTGCCCGCTGCTGCCAGGAATTCGCAATGCGACGACAGCGACGCCGACAGTAGCAGCGATGGCGGCAGAGGGCAGCGACGTAAGCGGCAGCACGCAAATGTGAAAGTGAAAACGTTGGCAAATCATCGGCCAACAGGGCGGATGATGACTATGGTTGTGCAGGGGTTGTGGGGTAAAGAGTCCTAGTCCTTCGTGGGGCCACCATGGGCGCCGCTTATTAGGCTTCGCAACTAACTTTTCTTGCGGCATAGTTTGTGCTAATTTCTTGCTGCTCCCACACCTCTTTATTTTCCGCCTATCTGCCCACTCACTCAGAAAAATTAGCTCCTTTTAAGATGACAATAATTTAGGATCCATCAAAGTTTCTTTCAACATTAATATGCATTTCATTGCAAGGGGACTTAGAGTTCGCTGAAGATTGTTTAAAGACCAAGAAAATATCAAGTTAATAGGGTTAAATACTTTTTCAAAACCGAACCCTTTTAAGCAACTGATCACAATGCAATGCTACAGAAATTGGACAGCTGAAAAGCATATCTTATGAGCCCTGTGACTGTTTTTTTATGACATTTTATATTTCGACCCAAACTTGTTTTGCTTCGGCAAATAATGTAAGAAAAATCTGAATTTTGGATTTGCTGTAAAAAAGCATTTCCCAAAGTTGTATTGCCTATAACTTAGCCAAAATGCACCCTACATCAAAAAGGCACACTGTTTTGAACAGCTAAAAACCATATCTTACTAGGCAGGTCACTGTTTTAACGATTCTGGAAAGTTTATTTTTTACAAAAGTTTATCACAAAATTTTGAAAAATTAAAAAAAAAATTTTTTTCCCGAAATTGAAAAATTTAAATTCAAAATCAATAAGAATTCAATTACAAAGCTAACAAAATATTTTTTTCGACATTCGGATCGTTATTTTGGCTGTTATGAGAAATATCCTGAGATTTCTGTGTTAAAAATAAGGATTCTATGTTCTACGGAAACTTCTAATATTACCACAACATTTTCTTTCTTGTGCATTTGGTGTTTATCTTGTCAGTATACTGAGTGATTGACTGTGTTGCTTTTCTAACCAACATTCAATTTTTACAAACATTTCGGGCACGCTGCCTTTCTATTTATATCGCGAGCAGGCCATCGCGTGACTGTCGTAAAACTGTCGTGAGGCGAGTGGAGGCCACCTCTCACCTGCCCCTAGATCCACAGCCCCGCCCAGAAGCCCTAGGAAGTGCTCAATTTATTGCACATTTTAGTATGAGTCAAACAAGAGTTCAATAGCTATAGAGAAAGAAGAAAGTAAGGCGAAACTCTTGTGGCAAGAACAACAAACGGAGAGAGTGGAAAGTAAACTTTGACTATTAGGCATTTGCGTGTTGCATGGGCGCACTTGAAGGGGATACTTTGAGCCGAGAAAGTGCTTCTTATGGCCAAAAGGATTCCCAGAGTTTTCGATGGTGCTCAACAGGTGCAATTTGGGTGGAAAACCCCAAAAAAGTTAATTCCATCGAAAGTTAAATATTTAATGTTTCACTTAATTTACAGTTTGCTTTGAAATATGGTGGGGATTTTTTCTTGAGTTGTGCTTTGGGATTTCCATATTTCTCTGTTGATTGAATCGAATTTGAGCTGCGGCTACGTTTCCCTTTTGTTTGCCAAAAAACTTTCGCCCGGCAAAGGGAAAATGTTTACAATGAATGATTTTTATTTGCTGCTTCCGTTATCTTTGGCCAGCTTTTTCTGCTGGCCCGGCCTTGTCTGAGTTGCTGTTTGTTTCTTACGCTGCCGTCCGAATTATGAATAATTCAAATAAACTGAAATGATACCTAAAAACTTTGACAGCCCATCCTCCCATTCCGCTGGCTGGGCACAATGGGGAGCAAACAGAAAAAAAAAAAAACAGAAAACAAAAAATATACCCAGGATGGGGCAGTGTTGCTCTGGCTGCTTTGTTATTATTATGATGATGATGGTTGGTGTGATTGTTGCCGTATTCCTTTTCGCCCCCTCAATTTCCACCAAGATCATCATCATCATCATCCCTATCCACATCCTCAGCCACCCACTTCTGGCCGCTTCTGTTGGTGTCATGCAAATTTGCATTCAACTTTCTACATTCACCCGACACAAAATGAAATGCGATAATCAAATACGACCAACAACAATGCGCTCAAAAGGCAGCAGCAGCTGGCCTCCACCTCCACCAAAGCCCCTCCGACCAGATAAAACTTTGGCACTGCCAGTTAGCCAGTCCAACAGTCCGCCCGTTCAGTTGGCCCGCCAACCAATGTGATTGCCATCGCCATTCGAGTTCTTGTTTATGCCATTTTAATAGTTCTTTAAACAAATAAAACGTGCCTGGGCTACATAAAAATGGGGTCATAGCAACTGCAAAAAGATCATAGGTTCCAAAGGTACTAAAAAACAAAGGAAAAACAAGACCTATAGCCTCTGCAATATATAATATTATATGAAATCAATTCATTATTCAATAATTAACTTATACATAACAGAAATTCCTGTATCATTAAAAATGGTATTCAAAAAGATTCATTAAGCATTGAACTTGTAAAAATGTGTTTAATAATGAATATTTAATAAGTTATAACAAGTGGAATAATACTATTAAACCTATATTTATTAAAAGATAATTGATTTCAATTGAATACCATTTACATACTTCTAAAGTTATATTCCAACTTGATTATTCAAAAATATTTAATTAACTGAGAAAGAGCATTACCTTAACAACACACCAAACCCTTTACCCTTAGAAGTTCATCTAAAACCTGCTAAGCATATATATATTTTTTGTAATAACAAGAAACAGTATAAGCTTCACGAGTCCTGGTTATAAATGAAGAAGAACCCGTGAGCTAGTCCATCTGGGCTTGGTTATCTCACTTTTAGTTTCGCCAGATTAATGGCAAATGAGCTACAAAACAACACAAAAGGTGGGCATTAAAAAGCACGAGTCAGGATTTATGGCAGCCGTCCGGCAAAAAAGCATTCGAGCAACAGTTAGGCTGGTGAAGACATAAAATTTCGCATTTTACGATTCCTCATCTCGATTCACCCAGCTCATCCTTTTGGGCCAAACCTATGTAGCTTCAAGCACGTGTTTCTGTGTGAGGCAGCTTCGCCTGCCTTTAAGAGCTTCCGGGAATGCCGAAACGACAACTAAACTTAAAACTTCCTTTGGGCTTTTTTACACCCAGCAGTTGGCGTACGGGGCTTAAGAGGCCAACAGATTTATATGCCAACAGTACGAGCTCGTCTCATAACAGAAACAGAGGAAAACAATTTGCGTTGCTCTCGAAAACAGATATAAAGATATCAAATATTCGACCACTTCCCTCGTGTCCGAGGACTTCCTCCTGCTTGGCATTTGCATAACTGAAGCGACAACTGTCGTCGTCAAAGGACAAACTCCAAGACCCACAGGATCTGTTCGAAATCAGAGCCTCAAACGCAGTGTCCCGTAGTCCGTCCACGAAGGACCATGTGTGTGGTCAGCAGTCGCGCTGCGGTCGGGCTTATTATTCATATATCGTAGACCATTAGCATAACAATGAGATGGAAGTATGGTCACAGAAGTCATAGGATGTGTTCTACTCCTTTGATTCACGAGGCATGTGGGCGTCCATGGCGCATACGCCGTGTGGCACCCGCTGCCAAGTAACGGGTTTTACAGCCAGGAAGTGCGTACAAATATAAATAAAGCATAAATAATAATGAAAGACGACACAGCCGCCACAACAATAACAGCAAGCTGGGTGCCACACAGTTACATGATAATGCATAAAAAATAAAATACATGCATGGCCTGAAAGCCATGAAAGGGCACAAATGGCAACTGGCAACTGGCATCTGAGGAGTCCGGAGGAGATCTCGGCGGTTTCTGGGGGAATATAGTCGTATATGTATATATATGGCGGATCTGGAAGCAGGAACGGCACGAAGGAGAACCGAGAATTCGACTTAACGCTTCGTTGGGCAGCACATCCGCCATAAT